GATAGTAGTGCCCTAGTTAAGTGCATCGTGTTCGCGTAGTCGCTCGTTTTCGGCTTTAAGTTCTTAAAGCCTAGCGGCGACGGCTCTTAAGTAGGTCCTAAAGGTAGCGTCTTCTATATCTAAGGCCTCTAGTATAGCCTTAAGTTGTCCTCCCTAAGGAGGGTTTTAGATATAGGAGTATAACTAAAGGTTGTCGATTATATCGGCTAAGGAGTAGAAGTCGTACGACTTGCGCTTAAGCGAGCTTCGCGTAGGCTTCGAGGGTCCTATAACGATAAGCGGAGGGGCTTACTCGGCCTAAGAGGCATCTTAGGGGCGAGGAGAGCCTTCCTCGTCTCTTACCTTAGATAGGTTAGCTATTACTATAATAGCTTAGTCGGTTAAAGGTAGATAGTATTATAGAGGTAGGATAGTATAGTGCTTTAAGAGAGAAAGGTTATAACTCTTCCTTTTAAATTAAAGCATCCTACTTCGTTTAAGTATAGAGTTTTTCTTAAGCGCTATAGTAGCGAATTACTAAGATACCTTTAAGTAGGGCGGAAGGAAATAGGTTACCGTACGGAATATATTAAGTGCCTATTATAGTTATCTAAGATATAGTATATCGTATTTCTAGGATGCTTAGCTAAGCTAAGGCGATTAGCGCTAGCTTAGCTATAGTAGTATGTACTTAAGAGGGATTCTTACGGGATATAGCGTATCTAAGCGCTATATCGGCGACTTTCTTAGTATAGCCTTTACTCGATAAGGTAGAGCGGGCTACTACGGTTCCGAGGACGGTTATAAAGCGCTTCCGAGGGCTCTAGCTTAAGTATACGGTCTAAGTTAGAGTTTTTACCTAGCTACGGAAGTATATAGCGTAACGCTAGCGTTAAGCTAACTCCTAGGGTAGTCTAGCGGAAGAGTTCTCGTCGCTTTAATCTAAGGGCTATGTTAATATCTAAGATGCGTGTTCTTAAGCTAGTAGGCTTTTTCTAAATCGTCTTATATAGGGTAACGGAACGAACTAGCTAGCCTACTAGCCCTAAGTAGGCGAGGTAGACTATAGGTCTAGCTAAGGAGCTAGACTTAAGCTCTTAGCTACTAGATGTTCTAAAATAGATGAATTCTCTAATTAAATTTATTTAAGGGAAAATTCCTCGGCTATATAGTCCTGCCTAAGTCACGTAGCTACTTAAGCCTCAGGCATATATGCTCAGTTCTCAAGTGGAGACTTTGAGAACACAGATCCGCTGTGTCTCTTAGTCATCACCACTGTGGCTTTCTCTACCTCACTCCTTCCCCGCCAAGGGAATAATGCAACACCCGACAAAGACATCACACTCTCAAATGATAAACATCAGACGTCGAACCGAAAATGATCTGGAAGGATGCGTGGCCTGCATCCAACGCGTCTACGCACAAGACCGATATCCAGTTCAAGGCGTTTCCAACGCAAAAGCTTTCATTAACGGCAGTGCCGTCCAGCAAGCTTGGATAGCAGAATCAGAAGGTATCATCAAAGGGCATGTTGCTGCCAGTATAGCCATGGAGAGTGATGTCTCAGTGGCTCTTTGGTGGCAGAAGCATCCAGACGACAAGATTGCTGTCTTGGGACGACTTTTTGTGGACCCAGACAGTCGTGGATCAGGCATCGCTGGCCGTCTCATTGCTCAAGCCACGGCATGGGCGAATGAGAAGGGGATCCGGCTTGTGCTGTTCGCTCTGGAGAAGGATCGAGCTGCAGCTAGAGTTTATCAACGACTTGGCTGGACGCAGTTTGGTACCCAAATTTATCACTATTGTGACGATCAGCAGATGGATGCTCTATGTTTCGTCAGTCCGGCATCGACTTGAAGTGTCGCAGTGTCTTCAAGTCGATCAACGTACCAGAATGGAATCCAAGATTGCTCTGCGATAGAGACAAACATATCTCACGAGTACTGAGACAACAGCCACGCACTGAGACATACGGAACATGGCCTTCCTCCTGTATAAGATGCGTGTTTTTTCCTAACTACAACTTCATCTCCAACTGTCAACAACCTTACAAGTCCGTACGACAAGAAGGACGCAAACGACCATATTCCCCACACATCCCACATCAAGAGCAACATCATTCTCATAGCCATCATGCTTAGCGTCGCCGTTATCGGTGGCGGTGCGGCTGGACTGGCGGCTGTGAGCTACTTGCTTAGAGAGAAAGACATCCATGTTACGTTATTTGAAGAACGTAGCGGATTCGGAGGCGTCTGGACGAACCAAAGCACCTCAACACAGCCGAATCCAATGTACGATGGACTGGAGACAAATGTTCCTCACACCCTCATGACCTTCACCGGCCACCACTGGCCACGAAACACCCCTGTGTTCCCTCCGCATGATCAGGTGCTATCGTACCTTCGGACGTATACAGCCAGAATCCGAGACCCAACTCGTTCGACGGTCCACCTGAGCACCAAGGTTGTTGAGCTTCGACTGGCCTCGGACAACACATGGGCTATAACTACGGAGTCATTGTTCGGCCGTGTAGAGCTCAGTTTCAACGCTGTAGTCATTGCTGCTGGCAACTACAGTGACCCTCACATCACACCAGACGAGCCGGGTCGCAATGTGTGGGCAGATAGAGGCAACCACATCATGCACTCATCAGAGTTCAAGAACGCGAACGCTTTCACGAACAAAGTAAGCACATTTGCCACATCGTCTTCGGAGATGAGAGACCTAACATAGTTGACAGCGGGTGTTGATTGTTGGCAACGGGCCATCTGGCTGGGACATTTCCGAACGTGTGGCGAGAGTTGCCGCGGAGGTGGTGGTCTCCGTTCGATCTCTCCCGATGACTGTCGCCCCTGGTGTGAATCGTGCTGTTGGTCTCATCAAGAAATACGAATGGAGGACCCGCACAGTGACCTTCTACGAAGGCAAGGAAATGTCAGATATCGACGTTGTGATCTACTGCACCGGATACCGATTCAACTTCCCCTTTGCGATCAAATACGACACCGACCGCAATGCACAGCCGCTGTTTCCGCCTGGTTTCCGGGTCCGAGACCTCTTCCAGCACATGTTCTACATCTCTCAACCATCCCTGGCACTCGTCGGCTTGCCCAAGATGACTGCGGCATTCACAGTAGCCGAAGCGCAGTCCGCCGTCATTGCTCGAGTCTTCTCCGGCAGAATCACACTCCCCGCCAAGCAAGCTATGGAGTCGTGGAATAGGTCTTTCATTGCAGAACACAGGAGCGCCATGATCTCCGACTCAAACTTTCACTCCCTTCCCACACGAACTGACAAAGACAAGGATTACGTCAACTTCCTCGAGCGAGTGTGCGCTACAGCCAGCGATCGCTTCCTAGGCAAACCGCCGCCATACTGGTGCAATTGTCTGGACAGCGCAAAAGCGTCTGTGGGTGCCATCCGAGCGGTTTTCAAGGCGCAGGGCGGCAACAGTGCTTTTTCTACAACGTACCACCAGTTGGGAGCTTTGTTGGTAACTCCTTGCACGTCGGAAAATCTTCAGGCATGCCCGACGGGCGCTACTTGTTGCTTCCTCGATCCTGCGACCAGGTGATGATCTATGGAGTTGCTTTATCATACGCAGTGGTCTGCGTGTGAGATGGAAGGACGAAGCGGTCGAACTGGCGGGAGCATTTGTTTGAGTACTTGTGATTCTCGCGGCTGATAATATCGACCTTGAGAGGAACAGATCGGATGGTGTGAGAATGGTAGTTGGGAATCATGCTTCGGAATCGGGACTGGTGATTGAATGCACTATACACCATGACTTGCTTAGGCCACATCAGTATGGAATGTGAGTAATCTTTATTGCTCTCTATTTGCAAAACCAACCATGTCCGTGCCTGATTTTCCGATTGACGATTTGGGGGTAATGTCTTGTTGAAGCAACACTCGAGTCCCCAGTGGCGAAGATTAGTATAGTGTTTGACGAAGTAGATGTTATTAACGTGAAAGGGGTTTCAACAAGAACATAATTCATACAAACTAATCCGGGTATATATCCAATCACAATTTCATCCTATCCATCCCAAGTATTGCCCTCACTCCTGCTTCTCGCCCTTCTCTTCCGCATCCTTCGGAACAGCCGCCTTATCGACCCACCCCTCTCCCCGGAGACTGCTCACACTCTTTCTGATAAGTCCACCTTTCACCGAGCCAGGCCTTGCGGAGTATACCACATCAATCAAAGCCAGACTGGCCACGAAGACAAGCACATCCCCGTTCTTCACTCCCTTCCACCAACCCCTCTTCTTCCCAACCTTCCAGCAAGAATCAATGCTCAATCTCAAAGAGTACATGAAATTGTCCCTCTCCTTGCCACGGGCCACAAATGCCCACATGCCGCCCAAGAAACCTCCAAGGAACCATCTCTGTGTCGGCAGAGTGCCTTTTGGAAGGAAGGAGTTGAACAAGCAAACAGAACCCCAAGAGGTACCGATTGCTCCGGTGATGAAGACGGACATTGCTAGAATACGTCTGCTGACGGCGTTGAGGAATGGCATCGGGGTCTTGATCAAAGTTTTGTATCCAAGCAGAGCGAAAGCCCCGTAGAGCATCGTGAAGAACTTCGCGATGGGCGGGAAAGCGGCGATCCAGTATTTGAGATATGTCCTAGCGCAACTTGGGTCTTTTGGGTGTAGGACTGCGCAGGATGTATGTTTCGTCCCGGGGTGGGCGAAAGATGTGATGGGAGATAATCTTTGGACCGTCTGGGATCCTGGTAGTGTCTTCTTGTGGTGTGGGAAGAGGATCGGAGAGACGAACTTTGGCCATTTCAATTTGGACAATTCTGCCAATCCATCCACGATGTCGAAGTTGGTAGGGTATGGCTTCGTCGAAGGATATCCCGCGGGGCGAACTTGCACGTACTCTGGACTGCGTTTCAAAATGAACTGTCCAAAGCTTTCCGGGAAACAATCCCTGTCGAAAACGAACGCATGGAGGAGCTGGCCGCATGCTACCGGCATAATCATCCAGCTGCCGAACCACCAGGGGCGCCTTTCGGCGTTGGGACCCCACAGTTTGCCACTTTCCGACAGAGCATTGTACCCGTATTCGAGACTGCGGGAAAGGGTGTAAATGGCAATAGTCGTGCGGAGTTGTTCCGAAGGACTGAGCCCGAGGAGAAACCCAGCTAGAGAGGCTCCTACGGCAGGCGTGAAGTGGGATGTGAGAGCACGCGTGACGAGCGGGTTACGGTTCCTGAACGGCGCTGCATTGTCTTCGAGGAGCGAGGTGCGTAGTCGGAGGAAGAAGCGGTGGAGGAGACGGTGGAAGAGGAGGATGGAGGAGAATGAGAGGGCGATGCGAGCGTTGCGATGTTTGGGGCCGGCAGCCTTGACAACAACACCGCCTTTTCTCCTTGCAATGGCATCTGTGACGACCTCGAATCCCTTCAATGCAGTGTAAAGGCCGATGTATACCCTCAACGCAGCTCTAATGGCCGAGGAATTGTAGTCTCCACTCTCCGTCTTGCTCGCCGTTATCTTTTCATATCTCGGCGGACTGGGCGTCTGTTTCTGCACGCGTTGGGGCGCTCGGGAGATCAAATAAGCGTGCAGGAGTTCATATTCGCGGGGAGACAGGGTATATCGCAGGGCGGTGCGTGTTATCGGGTCGATGGGTCCGCCTTTGGAGATGTTGCTGRCGATGGAATCGCTCGATTTGCCGGAGGAGGAGGACATGTTCGGGTGTCTATCCTTCCATCATGTCTTTCCTGGATGTGTGATGTCGTTGCGGGGGTGGTGGGTGTCGCGGTGGATTATGTTGTTGTTGACATGAGCATATCGCAATGCAATTGTCCCAATCTGGAGGCGAGGAAACGGCGCATCAAATGAAAGACGGCAGGGACAAGGCTGGGGGAGCTCCACTTGCCGAGGCTCGGACTTTACCCTGTAGGCCCGGATTCCACGGATGCCGCTAGGCAAGTATCAACAAAGAGATCCACCTCACTCTTCCAAAAGTAACATCCCCAAACATGACGCGGCAGATCTCTTCTTATATGCAACGGCGACGTGAACATGGCTTGTCCGCTGTCGCGTGACTGTTCGCGGACCGACGGATCGCTCGCAATGAAAGACGTCAGCACAACTCGTTCCCGCCGCAAGGGCAGCTCTTGAACAGCAAGGTATCCCGTCGACATCGACACGGCCACTACTACTGCAGAGCTGGTACTTGCCAGATCGGTGTCTACTTCGAGCGACAAGACAGAGCGGCGACCAGGAACAGCTCAATAAGTGAGGGGATACTCAGAGCTCACCCTGGACAATTCACCTGCCAGGTCTCCATTGTCATCAGAATGAATCAATTCAGCTTGTTATCACTTTCATTGAACCCCTTCTGAAGTCACGCCTGCTGTTGAGACGTGGGACGTGAGCTTTGCAGCTCCCATGGAATCGCAGCACTGCATCTTCCAGGAGAGGTTGGAAATGTAGGCAATTGAATTACGACTAAGATTACTTCTTCTAGTGTCAGAACAGGTGCCCGACTCTTCATCATTGCTGTCCTGTGCGCTCACTTCGTTACTGATACCACTCCGCCTCCTCAGCCACTAAGAGGAGAAATACAACACATGCTACGGCACTTTCAGCAGGGACTTTGAAGCTCGCCGCCTCCGCCATGATTTCCTATTCTCATCTTGGCCGCAACCTCTGGCATTGGTCTCGAATTAATGTTGCCGCCCGAGCAATACGATGAATTGCCCTCTTTCAACGTCTTTTTCAACTCTGAGATCACATGAGGTCTGGATGATTGACAGAGTCTCTGGTCGGCATTCTGCTGGTGCCTCGTTCAACGCCAGGAGACGACCGCGCGGGACGATATCTCACGTTCCTGATCGGCTTCGCGGAATGAAATATTCACCGCTCGAATTGTGCATCTCTCGCCGTCGCTGACCATCTGGTAGATCCTTCGGTGCTTTCAAATGATCCGACAACCATATCACAAACATGCGTCTGCTTCAAGGCTTCGCTGCGGACGCTCTGATGGCAGTCCAGGACCGAGCTCTCCCAGACCTTCCCCAAACTCTCCGCACGGAGCCCGCCCGAGCCCTGCCAGGACGATCGCGATCAGAGGAGCGAGAACATGCGGCGACAACAAGAACGCGGGAACCGTCTCGAGCTTCATCCGGGAAGGAATCGTCTTTCTTGTGTTGGGCTTGAGGCCTGCTGCCACCTCGCGACGACGATGACGACGACGACGGAATCAACATTCGAGACAGAGGCTTCGCTCTCGGAAGTGGAGGAATTGTGACGGTTATCTTTTCGGCAGAGACTACAGCTGTAGTCTGCAAGGTGTCGCTCGCTACCTCAAGCATGTGCTCGGAGGCGACATGCCAGAGGCAATGTGTTATGAGACGCATGAGAGATATTCGTAAGGAATGAAACTGAAAACTGCAAAACTGTCTGACTGATTGATTGATTAACATCTATCTGCTGGGTGAGAATCAGTTTACATATACCCCAAGGTACAGTGGTCGATGCGGCGGATGCTGCAATGAAGTCCAAGAATAAAGATTGGCCCGAGCTCTGTCTGAAACAATGCCACATTAAACAGTCTCATGCGAGTCTCCATTCTTAGTATGCCAATCTCTCATTCAATTTCGTTGAACATCATTCAAATGTTTAATCAATTTCGAGCATTTTCCAACGAGGTCAGATCAATGTTCGGAGTAGGACTGGAGGGGTGTGAGCGGCCGGCATATTACCTACCCATATTGGAAGCATGACTCGAAGTACCGGAATACAAGTCCGGTGACGAGGGTGTCCAAGTATGCGAGCTTTGGAGGGATTTCAATGTTATTGCGAATATCAACTGCTGGGTAAGAAAGGTAAGCGATAACGACGGCGACACCGTTGTTGGCTTTGGAACACACGGGACATCGTCCACGATTGACACCAAGGCTGAGAGTCTCCTCTTGCTAGCCTGACTGATGAAATTGAGACGGAGTTCGCAGATCATCGTCTCCTAATAACTCCTCGGGACGTCTACGCTCGAAAGTGGCAGCGGAAGACATGATCCAATCTGTCCTTGTGGAACCGATTTGAAGCATCGCAAGATTTAACTACACAGTACCGCGACTCCTTCTCATCTTTCCAAGTTCAAGTGCAGAAATTTGCCCAACAGATGATTACCCGAAAACAATGGACTTGTATGTCGTTGGAATAATCATTCTGCGATGCCTAAATGTGGTTTAGTTGCACATGATGGCTTGCCAAGCCGTCGGGGATCATGGGAATTTTTCAGTTACGCCAGCGAGTGTGGTTGAGATGGTTATTGATGCTCAATTTGGATTGCAGGAGATTCTGATAAAGATGTGTCTGTTGGTGGCTTCATCTTTCGTCGTCGTGATCGGATCTCGACAGCGACATGCATGGAGGCCGGCAATCGATGTTTGGCTACGGTGAACTAGTATCGAGCGTATGATGATATCTGATATGCTTTTTCGGTCGGCGACGACGAGCCTGTATATAGAATCRGTCAGATGCTCCACGGCATACCAACATTATCAAAGATAAAGGATCGCGACATCCCAAAGTGTTCGACAAATGCTTGGCATTTGACATGAACGCAACGCTAGGATACCCCAGGAGTTCGAGGTTCGAACACTCTCCCCTCCCAAATAGGCAATACGCAAGCGCTTAAACAACCCGACCAACACCCACACGCCACCCAAAACACACACCGTAGCCGCCAAAAAACCAGCCTGGGAAGGCAGGGAGAACAGCACTTCTATGTTCCACGGCACCACATAGTGCGTATAGAATGAGGGGCGGGGCGAGGCTCGTGTGCGGTTTGTATTGGACRCTCCTGCGCTAAGTCAAAGACTTTACCATTCCGGTCTTGCACGGAGAAGCGGTCTGTAATAGCGGGGTCTTCAGATTCTGCGTTAGTTAGGTGGGGAGGAATTTGGGGAAATATATTGGTGTTGGTTGGAGTCCGGCCGGAGGTCTACGTGTACTGTTTGTGGCCAGAAAATTTATGACTTGATTGGTGGTTATTTTGCTGGGCTTTGTTGGAGAGGTGCGTGGTAGGATGGTCATCAACAGGCTACCTTAGAAATGAACATCAGCGTTCTTCTACCATGGATGTCTCATTGTTTGTTGGCAAGGCAAGTGCATCTAGTCAGTCGAGGGGAAAGCAACAGCCTGTTTCGTGCCACATCTCAACATTTCTTTCCTCAGGCGCCGCATGCGATCGAGCTGGTCGCTACTTCGGAACTCATTACCATCGCATGCGTGTTGCCCACCCCTTCGCGACAAGCTCACTCGGTACGCGAATGAAATTATAATCACGGAAGGAGCCACAGTCATTGCCGAACGCAATCACAGTCGCAAGGCTATGGCGGCATGGCGAATTTGTGAAATGATTCATGGAGTTGGCCACATCATGGTGTCGCCTGCTTCCTTTGGCAGCCACTTTCCCGCCTTTCCTCGATCCACGAGTCGCCAGCATGTCGCTCGACGCGTCTCTATTGCTGTTGCCCAAAATTTGACGTTTCCATAAGACTCCGAACAGACTTCGTCCAAACAACGATGGATGAGAGAGCGCATCGAATCTTCGGAACACAATGATTGTGTAGCTCTATCTGGGCGGGAACACTTGTCAGAACAAACAGATGGTCGCTAGAGTTTCCGAGACAAGGGAGACAATCAGTGCAAGCGGGATGCACACCAGAACACTCGCCGGACCTTCGGTCAAAAGACGAGGTATTCATGGAAAGCCGCATTTAGAGAAGTGAACAGCTGGTTCAGCTGGTCATCGCTTGACGCCTTGGCGATAGGGTGACCATCGGTGCAACGCTCAAACGAGTCGAACTCGCGACGCCAAAAAACAAACATCCAAAGAGCAAAAGAAAACCCCGGGACGGGGAAAGAAACACTTCAGAAGTGTTTGCTTTTTCACAGCAACCTTAGTGGTCTTTGAATAGGCTTTGCTCAACTCGTTGGAAGGCTGCAAACTGTGCTACGGTGAAGATGAGAGAATTGGAGTTATTTATATAGGTTCTGCTGAGTGGAGCCGGAGTACTTGCGAGGGAACGGCCGTGGAAGGGAGAGCGGGATGACCGCATTGCTGCTGTGCCGGCTGCGGTGGCTTTGTTTGTCACGGGGTCCGGCTGGGTGGTGGAGCAGGCGGAGGCGACGAAGGTTGAGTTTCTGGGTGGCACATTACCGTACCCGAGGTAAGGATATATCAGACTTCTGGCACCGACAACATATAAACGGAGAATGAGCCCGATGATAACGAGGCAGGGTGGCGAGTGGAGGTTCGATGAGACACAACCGACAGCTCGTACGAAGCGATGTTGAACGGCACACTTCTTGATATATTCTCATCCCGGCGAGGATATCGATCGCGACTTTGGGGAGAGATGACACCACAACAGAAGCTAGTGCAGAGCGGACGCTAGAAATGGTCTGACTCCTGAGAGCCGATGCTGTGAAGGATGATGCGTATTATCGTCATCCTGTTTATCTAAGTCGCTCTCCCATTTCAGCTCAGATCGAAGGTTCCAGAATGCAGATGGCTGCCATAGACTCGCCAACCAGAGCGAGCCCAGGGCAGTGCCACGCTAACGTGRGCGTCGTCCAGACCACATCGGAATGCCTTTCTGGCAGCGATGAGAAAACAGCAGGAGATTCAAACCCAGCGACTCACCTTGTCAAGGTGCCCGGTATGCAATGTGATAGTGTCGTCCGAATTGAGAGTGGGGTGGATGGTGATTCATTCACTGACAAGCTGGCTAGCGTGTTCAATCGCGTTGATCTCGGCTCGGCCCGCATCTGGCCCGACTACTAGACGCTTCCCAACATTCGGCCTCTTACAAAACAAGATCTCCACCCTCTCGACTTCGACCATCCAACACCGACAACAGCAGCAACCCAGCACACCCACCAGCTCGCTGCCATCATGTCGCAGTACGATACCAACCTCGATCAGCTCTTCCAATCGCTGGACATCACCACCGCCGACGACGTCTTTACTTTGGACGACCTCACCGCCGCACYCGATGCCACTGGTATGACCGAACTGCCCTCTGCGCGCGATACCACAGGAGTATCCTCCGCGCCATCTGCCAACACCCAGCGACATGTCGGCCTCAATGCTCGTCACCATGAGCTCCACATGGAGTACCCAGCATACGACCTCCTCCGTCCTGGCGGAATCCCACACCTCGCGCGCCCTCGTAACATGGCTTATCGAGAGCAACCCCACCTCGCCCACTACCACATCCACGACAGCAACCTGGGCTGTGTTGTGCGACTCAACACCCCGCTCCAGAGAGTGTGTTACTCGTCCGCGCCTCCATTCCAGCAGCAAAACAACTTCGTCGAGATGATCAATCGTCTCTCGGACGCGCCAGGTGTCAGCACCTTAGGCCTCGTGTGCTACGAGTACCTGGGCAAGCTCGTCTATAGCATGCGGCTGACAACAACGTGGATGACGGCGTTTMATCAATCCACAGAAGTCCAGACGTATGGATGCTACGCCGAGGAATTCTCCGGCGTCATTGCCGCACTTTCTGGTGTGCCGTGGGCTGACGTGCTTGATGATCTCGTGAATCGTGCCTCTGACCTTTCCTACCTCCTTGTTCGCGACCGCATGATGAAGTACTCTCGCACCAGCGCGCAGGATGAATGGGAGAGTTTGACATGGAAGACTGACTCAGTGAACCACATCCTCTCCGATTGCTTCGTCTATAACACAAGCGAGGAATGTGACAACAAGTCATTCATGGACGTCCTCACTTTCAAACGATGTGGCCATGTCTTCAGGATCAGCCGCGTATACCTCTTTCATGTTTTGACGCGTGAGGATTGTCTCGCATTTCATTGTTCCCAATGCGGAGCCCACGCCATGGACTCCGCCGCKCGGCACAAGGTCAGCGTTCTCGACGACAGCAAAGTCCGACTCGAGTACCGCGAGTTGGATGGCATGTGGTCCAAGATGTTCTCGAGCTTAAACCCGTATGCCGTTTTCCAAGTGCAAAACGTGGAGCTTCGCGAGGCTTTGGTTGATGCTCTGGCCCTGTTGAACCCTCCGAGCTCCATCATGCATCCCACTCAGAGCCAGCACAACATGCCGGAGACTGAAGTTTTGCTTGCGGCGTTCAAGGCGCGTTTGATAAACGACACTGACACATTGATTGTAGCACCTTGCAAGACCGCTCATCTGTTGGCCAAGCTTGCCACTAGTGCTCTCCGAGAATACGCGGGCGTTGATCAGACCGTCAAGGGATATCGCTATGTCCCACTGGGATTTGGTAGATTCATCCATCGGTGGCTCAAGGGGGCCGCCATTCTACTTGCTGCGAGAGTCGAATCAAAGAATCAGTTGGTGGTTGACGATTTGAGCAGCTTGTTCGTGGGATCGAGAGACGTGGAGATGGGTGAAGTGACATGCCTGTACTGATGACTCGCTGGGAATGGGCCGTATACGCTATTGGGAGTTGTGATGCGATGTCGCCTTCGGAAGTCGTGATTTTGACGTGACTGTTTGGGTGAAGTGACAAGTCTGTACTGATGAGGCGCTGGGAATGGGCGGTATACGCTATTGGAAGTTGTGATACCATATCGCCTTCGGAAGTCATGGTTTTGACGTGGTTGTTCGGGCTCATGACTGTTTATTGATGATGAATGCTTGTCTTTTCTTAAAGTGGAGAATTGTGGCTGCCATGCTTTAATGTACTGTACATCGTCGCGTAGAGTGTATCTGCATGTATGATTTACCTCTTGCAAGCTGTCCCATCGTGCTGTATCAGGACTTCGTTGCCATCAGCTTTGACGCTCCTCCGCTGTATGAAGTCTCTTCTGAGCTTGATCGGAACCTCTATCAGGCTTCCCTCGTTTTCTCATGCTGTGAAATCGTCTTGACGCCATGCTCTCGGTTCAGTAAGGCGCTGTCTGCACGGCATGGACGTAGCGCGGTTCGCAGCTCTCGTCTTCACCCTTCCAGAAGATCTGTTCAATGAATATCAGTTTTTACTCTTGCCAAGCATTTCAAGAATCTCGTGACTTACCACACTCTGACCGATAGCTCCAGCTCCATCACAGACAGTCCATCCCTCGGTCTCTCCGAGTACACTCAACAGATATCCATCCTTGAGTCCGAGGTTACCCATGGTCTGTACGGCTGGTACGAAGCCGAGCTCATCTCCAGAAGTGACCGTAGTGCTGTTGTATTCCTCCAGAGTGAACCCGACCGGGCCATATGACTCAGTCTGAAGTGTGGAATTTGAGATGTTGAATTGTGGAAGACTGCCGTAGCCAGGAGCGATTAGGCGGAGTAGGAAAGTTTCCTGCTTGTTGGGATCGAATAGAGAAGTGGCGTTGACGTTGGGGAGAAGACTGCTGTTGGCGGTATAGTCTGAGCAAGTGGAAGTCACGAGCAGGAAGTTGGTGAGGTCCGGCGGCGGAGTTGGAATGGCAGCGGTGAGTGCAGCGCACATGATGGCGAGGAGGAATGAGCCCTTCATTTTCGGCGACTTTGATCTAGGTGAAGTTCGTGTGGTTCTGAAGAGACGATGTAGCGCGAAGGAAATGTGAAGTGAGATCAGAAGAGAAGCGCTAAGAAAGTGGCAAGAACGTTGGAAGGCACGCGAAAATCACCTTACCTTATACCTTATTCTCCGAGGGCAGCATCATTGAGCTCCATCCTTTCCGACAATGTCCAGTTGGTCCGCAAAACAAGTTACTGTTCGCATGGAATCCTTGCCAGCATGCAGATCACCGGTTACACAGCGGCATCTTTCTTTGTCTTGGAATGCACAAAGCGCCACGCGAGTGTTTCGTGTTGTCGGGATCTGTTGAATCCCACCTCATGCAGATGTGAATCAGCGGAAGCTGTAGTCCCAATAGAAATGAAGAAGAGGAGAGACTGCATACCATGGGCAGACTATAATATATACACACCTTTACAAAAAGTTCATGCCAATGCCAAAGCTCAATCCTTTCCTGCCCTCCTCACCCTTACGAATTACCAGCGGCAGGCTGAAGTTTACCTCCACCCTTGCTGCCGGATGGGCGTACACGAGCCCAAACCCAGCAGTGGTACTGGGTAGCTCACTGGTGAGAGCATTGAATGTTCGTGATATGCTACTGCTCACGTTTCCTCCTTCCTGCTGTTCACCCTGCAACGATAAAAGACGACCGCCATTGACAAACGCTTGTAGCCTCAACGGAGTCTCTTTGCCGACATGAGGGATGGGGAAAAGAAGAGATGCGCCACCGGCGGCGTACATGTCTCCGCCAAGAGCATCCTGTCCGTCTCGAGGGCCGAGACCGGAGAAGCGGAAACCGCGGACATCAGTAGGACCCCCGAGCTGAAAGCGATCGCTGATGCTGCTGGAGGACGGTCCGCTATTGCCGGCCTGTGGGAGAGGGCAGAGAAGGCCTCCTCTTAGACCTGCAGTGAAGGAGACGCCGCTGTCGCCTTTGATGCCTGGTATGGGCACGGGTACTGCTGCTTGCGATTCCAATTCCATCTTCGCAAATGCAACATCACCTTGAAGAGGACCTGCGCCCGCTATCTCCGTTACTGTCTTCAAGAGGTATCCGCGGGATGGCAACATGGGAATGTCTCGTGAGTCGCGGGTCCAGGTATGTGACACGCTAGACTTGAAGCTATCTCCAGCGGCCGCACGGATAGAAGGCGAGGCCTTTTCTGAAAGTCCCGTAATCTGCCTCCAGAAGCCATTGTATGCGAAATCGTGTCTGCTGAGAGGAGACGTCTGCCAGAGAAGGCGTCCTTGCCCACCACGCAGAATCTCCTCGTGCGAAGCGAAAGGCTTTACTGTGCTCGACTTGAGACCACCAATCTCAAACCGAAGATCAGGGTTGGACAGTATAGGGGTATCAAAGGTCGCGCTGTATGCATTTCTTGTTCTGGTGCCCAAGCTCGCATTTCCATTCAATCTCTCGCCGCCTCCGAACAGATTCCTCAAGACCACATTCAAGTACGCACTACCCTCCGAGCTGCCGGCTTCGGTGCCAGTCTTGATAGTATAACGACCTCGCTCCTTGGCAGTGATGTACACAGCGTGATCCGTGGGCGTCGTGCTGGGGTCAGTCTTCTCGGCGCGATCGATGTAGGTCGAAATTGGCTGCTGGAAGATATCGAGCCGGTTCAATTTGTCCACAGCTCCTCCAATTTCCGTRAGCGCTTCGCGGAGAGTGTAGTAGGAGCCATTCTCGCGGTTCTCGGATAAGAGTGGGTTCACGATTCGCTCGAGGAAGCCATGGCGTGTATGAGTTGCGTGTAACACCCGGACCGAGGATATGGTCACTGGTGCGGTGGAGTTCAAGGATATGAGTTCATGTTGGCGACGCTCAGCCTTGGTGGTCGCGTTGTTGATTCGCTCATTGAGCTCCTTCTCCCGCTGCTCCAGTACTTTGGGGTCTATCGGTTGGCGCAGTTGCTCGAAAACCTGGTACGTGAGACATTAGCATTTGAAGACTTACACCGTTGGAAGTCATATCCACATACGCCTTCATCAAGCGACGTAGTCGAAGCCATGTGGAATGTGGTGTCGAATGGTCGAAGAGCTTGCCTGTCGGCAAGTTAGAAGCTACCCGCTAGCGTCCGCGGTATGAAGCCTAAATCCTGCTACACTTGGTACCTTGAACCGACATCGACAATCGATACCGGCAAGGGAACACGGCGAATCATTCCAGTTGGCGAGGATTCTAGCCTGACTTACCTTGCAGCGGCTCTGGGAATGAAGGTTACCGCCCTATCCGCTACGATCAAAGACGTCGTCCTTTCTTCAAGAACGACACCACGTTCGAGAAGACACGAAGCATCTGACTCTCCGTGGAACACTACTTATCGCGGTGGTCGCAGCTCACTTCCTGAGAGTCCGATCGTCGCTGAAGTACGGAAAGAGCCAGCATGCTTCGGTTTCCCATGCCCTCGCTGGACTAACGGGCTTGAGTCGCAGCTGCCAATGAAACATAGGCAAACGGGCTTGCCTCTCGAGACTTTCCAGCAGCGACGAATCAAGGCGCTGTCGCTGGTTGGGTGATATGCTGGCTCTACACGTATCTTTTAATCCGTCTCATTTGATCACGCCAATGCCATGCGTCGATCTTCCGATTCGAACAGTTGAGATACCCGGCTAACCGAAACTATTATTTCGTAATCTGACTTCATTGAATCCTCTGAGCCCCCTTTAATTTTCTTACTATCGTACGTCTACCGGACGAACAGCATGCGCTTTCTCTTTCGCCTTGGAAAATTGTGTTGAACCGCTTTTGCATTTCACTTTCTTGTCTTGGCGGCGTGTGGAATATTGGCCGCTACTACTGCGTGACCACCTTATGCTCAACCACCTCTGCACGGGGTCAAGCCTCGAGTTCCGTCACCTGCATGCTGGCCTACCGCTAGATGCTTGCAATTCTCCGTTTTGCAGGCCTATYGGGGACCCTGACGGCAGCCGCAAGTATCTGGCTTTGGACGTTCACTTCGCTGCCTCGAATTCCATGGTCTCTGGCAGTTGATCCACCGACATCGTGTGTTATGTGGCGCATAGATGCATACGGCGCTCCAGTCGAGCATAGATCAACGGCTCGTGAGAATAATCGATGGGGGTATTGCGTAATGACTGCCCCGATGATTCTCTCGTCTCAGGTGGGCCTCAAGGGTGTTGCAATAGAGTCTTGGTGTTCAGTGCACCAACCTCTGTCCAAGATATCCCCGTTCGTCGACATGATGATTTGCGACCTCAAATTCCGAAGATACTTATTGGCTCGAGCAACCTCCAGACCCGATTGATGAACGTGGGCGTGGGCCTTACCATGCACAGTCAGCCTGCTACTTCGCCAGCTCCGAGCAACTGAACGCAAGTTCCGGCGACTGACCGGAGTCGACCGGCATGTGAAGGTACATACACTCTTGTTGGAGCGCAACTACGCTGCTCCCTGGGAAGACCCTGTGCATCGCCGTTCCAGGAGCCTCGCATGAAAGCACGCCTCTGAGCTTCAACTGGGCCTTTGAATCATGCTAGCAATTTCCAAAATGAACTTTTCAACTTTTGAGAGGTGCCGAACTACTTACTTTACATCAAATTTTCACTCTGGATAAAGGTATTCATCCTCTCCTGCTTCACGTCACGACTCGCCGCCTTGGCTTTCAGGGCCGCACGGATATCATCCACACTGCGTGTCTCCCACGCCTTGAACTCCCAGGAGCTCAACGGCCACAACACCTTTGCGCCACGGTCACGCATCCATTCGTCAATATTCAACGGTGCCGGTTTGCTGGTCATCGCGTCAATGTCGCATGCCAGCCCATGGCAGTAGGCGTCAAGAGGTAGATCGTTCWCATCCTGGCCGAATGGGTTCTCCAACTCTTTCCCAATCTGAGCAAGACCAAGGATAATGTACCCGGCGACAATTGTAGCCGGAATCGTGACCCATCGCAGTTTTGGGGCGAGTTGAAATGGCAACGCAAGGACGTATGCCCATGTAATCTGAGCGATCGATATGGAGTACGCCACGGGAAGTGGAGTGTTGACGACTCTCTCCACGCCAGTGAGTACATCACCCAGCAATGCCAGATAGTTCATTGACATGGTCTGATGCACTGGTACGGCGAGAGTTTTGTTGGCAAATACTTCTTCAAAGTATGTCGACAGGTATGTGAGAACCTCGAGCGGCGTGTTCCCTAGATTCTCCTTTGACCGCTTGATGAGCTTGCGCGGGTTAGACTCCGCCATTGGTATGCCGAGATACAAGCCAATGGACTTGATAGGTGAAATCTTCTTTGGCTGGAGGTTCGCTTGATCGGCATCTCCTGCTAGAGTGTGTAGGTTCCCAAGCAGTGGGGCAAGATCCGGGTAGTCAGTCGACGGCTCAAAGCGTAGGCGATGCTTGAGTGAAACCGCGAATGCATTGATGAGCYGAAGAGCGGCGAGCTTAGCCAATAGATCTGCTTTCCCCAACTCTGGTGACTCGGCATGACGCTCCTGCGTATGTATCCAGATCAGTCTTGCCAGGTTGCGCGAAGTYAATATCAACTGTGACCAGTATCTTCGGCCTTCGGAATAGCGTTCGTATGCCGTGGTGGACCTGAATGAAAGAGCCAAACCGACCACGAAACCCAAGACGGTCAACAGAACGGAATCGATGCCGAACTTTTCCTTGTAGACAAGCTCGTTGATACAGGTAATGGCGGTGGCCCACCCTCCGAGGAAGAAGAGAGGAATGATCATTTTGGGAAGAACTGAACCATGGAGACGAAGGAAATATGGCCATTTTGAGTGGCGCATGACATCCCGAGGGCCCTATTACAGTGTCAATATTCACCACGCGCTTTTGACTGACACAGGTCCCAGTCGACTTACTCTGAAATAGTCCTCGATATCCACCGTCTGATGCGTTTGTACATGGTACATTGGCACGAACAGATGGTCAGGCGCGCTGTCATCCATCTCAGGACTTGAAACTAGCGAAGGTGAGTTTGTGACCTTTGGTGCCTCCTTCTCGCCATTAGATGGCCTGCCATCTGCCATGTTTGGAAGTTCGATACGCGATGAAGAGCAAAGTTTGAGAGGAAAAAAGCTGGCAAGGTAGAGCGCTGTCGTGTCGAGAACAGGGATCAGCTCTAGGTTTGTTCGAGCGCTGCTGGCTCCGGAAGAGATGAGTTTAGGGAGGATGCTCGCTGCAAATTGTGATCATATAAGAATGAATGACCAAGCTACGGAGCAGAAGTAAAGGTGAGAGTGTCAATGAGCGGAAGTTCTTTGTACAGTACCTTCTAGTCTCGTGCACGTCCCGAAGATATTTCGAGACTGCCTTAGTGTGTTGGCATCTTACCTTGCTGAACATCCTCCGTACTAAGAATTGTCTGGTACTTTCTGTACAACCTCTCGCGCTGATCTTGCTCTACTCAGCGCCTGTTGAGAACATGTCACCGCAGAAGCCACTGCCGCTGCTCATTGACTCTCCGAAGTGCTTCAAACTGACGACAGACGCGTCGCCTCCATCCCATTCCCACGACAAAGCCACGAGATGCAAAAGTTTTTGTGTTTCAACGTGTCTGCCCCTGCGTGATCTGTCGTGCCTGGCTAAACCTTAATGAGCCCGGGGCGGACGGGTGAGCGCGTGGCGTACCTACTTCTAGCGCCGGAGAGGCGTGGAGAAAATCCTCCGTCTTCATCGTGTTTACCAGAATCAATCGAAACACATCAATGTGATGCGAGATCCAGAGTGCTCAGACTGGCACCGGGAGATGCCATTTGGATGCAAGGCGACACCCAAATAACATAATCCTGCTCGCTTCAGCGAGACGCGAGGTTGTAGCACATCGCCAGATGCTCTCAACCAATACATGGATGCACACGCGTCGTACTCACAAGCGGCGCCTCGCTGTCCGAAAACTCGAGCCGGACACTCGGTGTACTAATCAACCCAAAACTGACTCTCCATTCGACAGCAACTTTCTGGCCTCAAACATCCAAGGGCCGCCGAAATGAAGATTGCCGCCTCTCCTTGTGGTGAGTCGACGACAACGCTCACGAACAGGCACATAAAGCAGCCTTGCGGAAAGTCAAACACTGATGATCGAATGTCTTCTCAATCGTACTGTCGTTGTTGCAGAAAATACAAGACTTTTGCCTGTTGCAGGTAGGGCGGCAACCTTCAATTCCACCGGCCCTTGATCAATACTACCACGCCATGCAATCACGCTTTCTGGTCGATGTCGCCCTTCTCCGCATCCGATGTTTCATCTTTCTCCCAATCAATGCCAGCGGAACGAACTCCTGAAGTTCGACGGAAGTAAACCCTCTTGGCAAACTTCCAGGCCTCGACGCCAGCGAAGAAAAGCATCGTCGCAACCACAACGACTGCCCATTCCCACGTGATCTTTTCATGCTTGAACACCACACGGTTGATGACCGGGATGTAAAGCGTAGGGAATATGGTCACAAATCCGAAAATGATAGCCCAGAAGAGGAACTTGTTGCGACGAACATCATAGATCCTAGAGCAGGCTGTTAGCATCCGTACAGTCTGAAGCATACCCACTGCGAACTCACCACTGTGTAAAGTACTTCTTGCTGCCAGGCTGCATCCGGAAGAAGCTCCTTCTCATGTCAACCAACTCCCAGGCGAGGAATAGCGCGAACCAAGTGAGACAAGCAAAGCATGTCGCTCTGGCTCTGAATACAGTATCACAATCGGCCGAGTAGGAGTCGTTGCAGTTTACTCCAAGGTTGCCATCACCGAATCCAAAGAGGACCAGGGAAAAGGCGCCCAAACACAATGCTGCAATCCAAAGACCGTAAACGAGCATGTCCACCATGACTTCCAAAGTAAACACGCCTCGTTTCAGGGACTGAGGCGGCCGGTTCATGATGTCAGGGGTTGCAACTTCGAAGCCGAGACCCATGTCAGGCATTCCCGACGTGATCATGATGACCTGAAAATGTCAGCAAGCAATGACGGGCGATTTGGTCTYCACTCTACTCACCCAGAGAATCTCGACTGGCGCCAGAGGGAACACCGAAAGACCGCGGGAGTCCTTGAACGCAAGACCGATGAGCAAAGTGCATGCCTGTGCGATATTCTCGGCGAGCAAGTGAAGGATGAACTTCTGGATGTTGTCAAACATGCGCCGGCCTTCTTCAATGGCATTAGTGATGGATGCAAAGTTGTCGTCCGTGAGAATGATATCCGAGGCATCCTTTGCAACATCGGATCCCGCCTGACCCATGGCAATACCCACGTCAGCGCGCTTCAACGATGGAGAATCATTGACACCATCGCCAGTCTAGGCATGGTTAGCGAAGGCTTCCTTTGTCCACAAGTCATCAACATACCATAGCTGCAAAGCGCTTCCTACGATGCAGAGCCTCAATCATCCGGACTTTCGTATTTGGGGCACATCGTGCCACAACGAGCGGCAGTTGGGGCAGTTTATCAATCTGGTCATCGCTGAGCTTGTCGAATTCGCCAGCGGTCATGACGAGAGAATCAGCGACATCCTTTGGCAAATTCTCCATCTTCTTGTGGGATGGAAGAATTCCAACGTCGATGGCAATGGCGCGTGCAGTTCCGGGGTGGTCACCTGTCAACATGTGCACTTCGATGCCTGCCTGACGACACTCCTCGACGGAGCCGGCGGACTCTGCTCTTGGGGGGTCGTAAAGACCAATCAGACCCCGGAACGTCAACTCGCATTCTACTTGGTTGCGGTCGAGCTCTTTCTCATAGTTGAGATGGGATGGTGCGATCCGGCTGGCGAGAGCCAAAACACGAAGGCCGTAAGACGCAAAGTCCTCCATTTTGTTGAGTATGCGGTTTCGATGGTCGTCGGTCATCTCAGTCGTGTCATCGGAGTCGCTTGTGGCATGGAAGTTGGAGCAGCTTTGGAGAACACGCTCAACCGCTCCCTTGGTGAAAACCTGTAAATCTCCGGTCCCTGTGTTTTCCAAGATAACCGACATCTTCTTTACATCAGAGTCGAATGGGAATTCCAGCAGCGTCTTCCATACTGGGCGCTCCGTGCCAATAAGATCCTGTCGAGACCAACCGAAGCGAAGGGCAAACACGTTGATGGCAATCTCAGTTGGGTCACCTCTTGCGTGCCACTCTCCGTCTTCCTTTCCTTTCCAGATGGTTGAGATGTTCGCAAGAGCTGCAACGTCGAGGAAGGAACCAAGATTGGCGTCGGACTTTGCGAGGGCTGTGTCCATTGGCGCATTACTTTTCTCGCTTTCTACTGACTCGGACGAGGCCATGGTCTGCGTTACGAATCCGCCAGTTGGATTGTATGGCTCATTAGCATCTTCCACAGAGAATGTCCCACACGCTGGGATGTATGCCTTCTTGGTGATCATTTTGCCTTGGGTAAGAGTTCCAGTCTTGTCGGAACAGATATCCGTAACAGCGCCGAGTGCCTCTAGCGACTTCAAGTTGCGTACGATGACATGTCTTTCGACCATGCGCTTGGTCCCAGCAGCCATAGTAATCGTGAGAACTACTACCAGTGAGGCAGGAATCATGCTCAATCCCGTGGCAACGGCGTAGATGATAACTTCGCGCTCATTGGAGAAGTCGTTCGCCGCGAGTACAATGATTGCGCAGACTACCGCAATGCAAAAGAGAAGAATCGCGAGCCGGGACAGCTTCTTTTGCAGAGGTGTTCCGATGTTGACTCCAAGGAACCGTCCGACGGCGTCCGATGCCGTCAAACTCCAGGCTTGCGCATAGCGATGTGGGCCAGCTTTTCCCTGATCATTGCGCTTCACGGCACGAACCTGATGAAAATTAGCAGCTGCGAGACATGCCAGGCCAGCTTTCACACACCTTCGATCCGGTTGCGCGGAGRGCGGCGGCTATGGACCCGATCTCGGTATTCAACCCTGTAGCAAAGACAATCCCTCTAGCTCGGCCTTTTGTCACCGTCGAAGAGCTGTAGGCGATGTTCAATCGATCTCCAGGGCCAGTATCATCGGGAAATACGGCAACTGGGTCTTTGCGGACAGGGAGGGATTCACCGGTAAGCAATGCTTCATCGGTCTCGAAGTTGACGGCCTCGAAAAGTCTGGAGATGATCAGCAGCGGCTCAGAGAGTTCTGCGAATGCTCTTCATAGCATACCTCAAGTCCGCAGGAACAGTATCTCCTGTCTTCAAATCAACCATATCACCGGGTACGATTTCAACCGTAGGAATCGTGATGTTTTCGCTCGCGCGAACAACACTAGCTGTTGGAGAACTAAGACTCTTCAACGAGTCCATGGTTTTCTCAGCATTGAACTCCTGCCAGAAACCAACGACAATGTTCAAAACGATGACAGCGGTGACTACGCCACCTTCAATGTAGGATCCAATACCGAAGCTCACGGCCATGGCCATGATGAGCACCTACCAATTGTTGGATCAGCGATCTTTACCGCCTTAAGACGGGTTCATGGTTCACGYTACTAGAGTCATAGCATTAGCAACCTGGCGAAGAAGAATCTTGCCAGGCTGCACACCGGCGCCGTCACCGAGATCATTTGATCCATAGACTTCGAGACGCTCTTTGGCGTCGACCGAGGATAGACCAGCGTTGTCGTCGGCTTGGAGTTCGTTGATGACAGCCTCGTATGTGAGAGCATGAGCGGGCTTGGATAGAGGCTTGTTGCCGGAGCCAGATGGAATGATCGGTTCGGCCATTGTGTTTGCAGGCATCTTTGCTGGGCAGTGGGAAAGTTGACGAATTGTTAAAAAGTGGCAACTAACGGACTTTTGTATCTGCTCATCGGTGCTTGCGGCAGGCCAAGAACGGTGCGTTCTTGGTTGGTTCTTGGTTAGTTCTTGGCTGTACTTTCCTCAACATTGCCGACTTCGACTCTCTGGAAGCAGGAAGTGTGCAGACGAGMGCTCGGCTTCTGTAAACACTCGCGATGCACGTGAACATTTCTACTTGCCCATAGGACAGATTTGCCCTCCGTTTGATTGCACAATCGGTCGGCTTTCTCAAACTCGACAGCACAGATTGACCGGAATGCGGCAACCAAGATGTTACGCCAAATGCAGACATGACGATGGAATTTACGCCGGCGTACGAATACAGTCTAGCGCCTCTTGGCGGCGCCACGAGCCTTGCCCATTTTCTCAACGACACGCCTGATAGCCAATGTGGGTCATTAAGTGACATCGCGTTGCCTTCCTGCTGAAGGACGGCTAAGCGAGGCGAGCCAGATATCATGGACTGGGCAAGTTACATCCACATGAGATTCTGCCAGATATCCGTACCTGATCAAGAGGCTCCTTGCCATTGATACAACTTGTCCAGATATGGCTGTGTGCACCTCTTACAGGAGTATGACCTCCTCAGAGCACGATACCCTTGGTCTGGCCCTTTTTGCTCAGATCCAAATTCCTCAACATCAGGACCCAGACGACACACAGAGCCATTACACCCACTCCTGCCGCCAGCATTCGTGTCTGAGCAAAACCATACGACTCCTGAATAGCAATACGCTCTGGACTACCAACAGGATACGACAGCTGTGTCTTAAGATCCGCGTATATGAGAGTAGCGTTCGCCACCGCAGACTCGGGCAGATTCCGCTGCAGAGCTCCGAGGAATGTGTTTGTCCAAATTGCTCCTGAGATGGTATTCCCGATAGCTCCTCCCACGGTACCTGAGACATATAGGGAAGCCAGGACAGCTGCGACGTGTTGATGATCAACCGCGGCGAGTACGCCCAGCYGAACCAGCAGAATGAATACACTCCCGCCCATGGAGATGAAGATCTCACACATGATGATGTACCCAATGTACTGGTTCGGCTGCCGGAAATGGATCATGAGGCCGAGGCCGAAGATGTAAAGCGGAACGGCGATGTAAAACACCCACTTGTACCGCTGTGTACGGCGTATCAGGTAGCCCACGATGAACAGCAGGACACCAGAGACCACCTGAAAGGTGCTGTTGACATATCCGGCTTCCGCAACCGTGAGATTGGAGACTACTTGGAGAAAGGAGGTAAAGTAGCTGTTCCAGCAGTAATAAGAGATCTGGTACGTCATATCGATCAGACAACATCCGATTACAGTCCGGTCTGTCAGGAATTTGTTCTTGATGAACGGCTCACTAGCCAAGAACTTCTCGTACAGGCCGAAGAGTACCAGAATGAAGAATCCGATAACTATCATTGCGATGATATAGCCCGATTGCCACCCCTCCGGAGCGGATGCTGCCAGGGTGAATGGGAGTAGAAAGACCGTCAATCCAGCGGCGAACAGGAAGACTCCAGGCACTGCGGCAATCAATCAGATGGTTTCTACCCATTCGTAACACTTCAACTTACGATCGAAGGCCACTAATCCATACTGCAGGCTCTGCATGAAACTACGGCCGCCCCTTTCCTTGACGTATCTTCCTTCTCGTTCCGCTTTGCGAAGTTGAACCTTCAAGAGGACGAAAAGAGGCAAAGTCATCGCAGGAACGATGATTGCAAAGGCTCCGAAACCCCATCTCCAATTGACATTGCTCAAGAAGCCCTCGGCAGCTTTGGGTCCCGCAAAAGCAGTGATCATATAAGGAGAAGACGTGAAGGCAAAAGCCAGCCCTCGATTTCGCAAAGAAGTCACATCAGCGGCGAGAACGGCGACTGTATAGATGATGCCTGCGAATCCGATGGAGTAAAACACCTACGTACATCGTCAGGTTTTCGCGCGATATCCAAAGGCATCCGAATCACTTACCCGTGCAGCACAGAACGTCGCCAGATTGTTTGACACCGCCATCAGAACCACACCAAGAGTAGAACAAGCCACGGCGAGGAGGAACCCTTCTGCTCGACCCCAGACATCCAGCAGCTTGGCCATTGGAATGTACACCGCGGCCGTCATCGCATTGGCTACGATTCCAATCACGGTAATCAGCGAGTGGGATTGGAAGTCGCTGGTTACATACGGCGTCAAGCTGGCAAGGATGGAGAGCCGTAGGCCATTAGTCAAGAAGATGATCCAGATGCTAGAGGAACGATCAATGAGCTAGACGTTATGCAGCAATTTATGCTCGAATACATACTTGATCAGAAGCGCAGCGAGCGACCACTTCGACCAGACTAGAGTCACAGCCTCGATCTTCTGTACTCCTGCCTGTGCATGTTGATCAGGCACGACAGCTTCTTTGTCTTCTTGTATTGTATTCTCGGGTTGGGCAACTGCGATCTCCTCTGTCACGGCGTTGGATTGACCATTACTGCTGAATGGCTTGAGAAATGGCATGGTAGGCAAGCTCTAACTCTACAAGAGCGTGACGAATCGTAGCAAGACAACAAGGCAGAGGGTAGAGGGGTCCTCGACTGTTATATACCACTCCCCAAGCCGGGAGATGTTTCCCTCGACGTCTACTAGTTCTTGAGGCACCGTCCGTTGGGAACTGCATCAAGCTTCTTGTCTCCGATACCAGCCGAGGCGAATTCTAGGCTGGCTCGTGGCCGACGCATGTTTGTGGGGCATGCAAGTGACACCATGCATCCTTTCGCTTGAAGCTTACCATAGACCTGCTCGCTGGGCTCCCGATGGACCAGGTTAGATATGGTCAGAGCAGTGKTATCCGCTTTTGTCTTGGTAGTGGCTGCTGAAGATCTTGGCGACCGAGCTCGGACCTGTCGGAATCCAATAGGATGCTCAATTTGGGTGGGTCAGGAGAATTTTTATCTGATCATGAGATTAGATCCCTTCACTTACATCGGCTCACTTGGTCGGTCCCGACTGGATCCTCGCAGGCGAGAGCCAAGCTTAGGGCATGCTGCAACATACTGAGTACGCTCCCTGCTAGTTTGGAGCTGATACCCCTCGATCTGCTGGACGATAGCCAACCGGCTTCGTGTTCAGTACTGTATTTGCTGGCTATCTTCCAACTAAACGCCACGATGATTGCTCAAAGAAAGACGATAATCGAACCTGGATACCTCCCAAACAGCTGTCAATATACCGTTGAGACTGCTCGTGGTCCATATCTTGTCCAGATCGCATGGCCGCTGTGCTGGACATCGGAACGCCTGCCACAGCCAAACGCGGACGAACATCCCGTCTCCAGCTTGTATTTGCATTGTATCCAACGACTCCATCAGCATACTGACTCTTTCCATCCAGCTACCTTGTAGATGGCAACGCCTACTTTCTTACAGCAGTTGAAATCTCACGACGATTGGAATGCCTCAATTCCACCCGCAGCATCGTCGTCGGTATCGGCTATCCCAACCTCAAAGCTGTCTACGACTTCCGTAGAGGTCCTGACTTGACACCACGTTCGCGTGATGGAAAGTATGAGATGCCTCTAGACAAACACGGCAAGCCCCGAACCGACTTGAGCTTTGGGGAAGCCCACTTGTTCCTCGACTTCATCAAGAGGGAAGTCATGCAAACAGTGGAGGGGGAACTCTTCCCGTCTCTGGATCTTGCCTCCAATCGGAAAGGTCTGTTCGGACACTCTTATGGTGGTCTGTTCAGTCTCAACGCATTGTTCACTCAGCCGGGACTATTCGATTTCATCGCTGCTGCAAGCCCTTCTATATCCTGGAGCGAATATTCCTTGGTAAGCTTCCAGGAGGAGGAGTTTCACAGGGAAGCGAAAGTAGTCGACCCGCCCCCGGTATTGCTTTTGACGTGGGGATCGAATGCCGAGGAGCTTGAGCAGAGGAAGGGGGAATCCGATGCTTCTTTCACGCGGAGAAGGATGGGAGCGGAAGAGCCAGAATGTGGAAATGATGCCAGGGCCATGGCCGCAAGATTAGCTGGCGACTGTACCATCAAGGCTGTTTTGACTGCCGACTTCCCAGGTTGGGGTCATGGAGGCGCAGCTGTAGTGGGGCTTCAGCGAGCCTTGATGCATTTTCTGCTTGAGATGGATTGACCCTTTGCGGCAGCTAGGGCGCGCGAGAAATACTCCGTGTAAACGCCACCCTCGTGAGTCGTTGAATTCGTGTATGCAGCAGCCGTCTGTCTCACTCTACCAGCCAAACTTCTCCACTGCAACATCTATGTCTAAGCCCTMTCGCCTTACGAGGCGCGAACATGTGTTACGCGCACTCCTATTCAAACCGTCTGGGCCGGACACGACCACTCCAATCTTCGGCTGGGATCTTGTATGTTCTGCTTGGTCCGCGAGCTGGTACACCTTCTCGTGTAGAAGACTTTCTATATCCGGCCGTCCGTATCTCCGACTTGGAGGCGGGATGACAAGATGCAGTCCAAGCGCCTTCAACTCTTCCACTCTTTCAAGACCTAGCCAACTGACATGTGAAGCTTCTTGAACCACCCAAACGAGGCAGATCCGTTGCCTCAGACGACTCTTGCTGTGTAAGAGTGWCCAGAGCATGGGATATGCGACTGCGATTCCAGACCCGCCAGCTACGATTATGGAGACATCACTGGCATGTAGCATCTCCAGGGCATGCAAGGATCCATAAGGACCATCAAGTCGGATTGGAACAACTGAGTGACTTCTTGCATGGTGCAGCAGATCCCTTGAAAAGCCGCCTTTGGCACGAATTATGAGGTTGAACCAGGCATGCTCCTGTCCTGGCTCCGGGGCCGCAGAGGCAATGGTCATGGGGTGGAATTGCAGCGCATGCTGCTTCGAGATGCCAGGAACGGTGAGGAATACATGCTGGGAGGCATCCCAGCCACAACCCATGTCCCATCCCAACCACTTTCGCAAGTGGCCCCTTTTACGAGAAACGATGGACCAATCCRCGGACACCTTGACCGTCTCGCGATCTTCCATTATCTCCAAAGTTGCTGTAAAGGCCCTCGTCTTAATCCCTAACCTCCACACGATCCGATCCAGGAGGAATATAGCCAGTGATACCAGAACGTACGGCCTGCTACGGAAGTGATGCAAGTACAGCAGTACCAGTCCAACCGCCTGGAGAAAGACATGGGAAGCCAAGAACATTTCGTACCACCACTCACGGAACGAGCTCAAACTGGTGAAGTACAGAACCTCGTATGAAATGAATGCAAAGTCGCCCCAAATAATGTAATTGATGGTCAAGAAACCGTAAAGAGTGAGATGGAGCGGGCGCAGAACACGCCACCAAGCAAAAATCATCCCCGAGAAGTGCATTGCTGCCAGCAGGCAGAGCATCTCACCTTGTCTCCGGTGCAGCAAGTTCAAATTCTCGTAGCTGTGTCCGGTGAGCGCTTTGAGTGGCTGGTTCTTAGCTGCTAGAAGGTACAGCCACGGCAGATTGGCGACGAATAATAAACCCGAGCGGTCCGATATAACCTCTATACAAGTCAGAGTGCTGTAGTCCACGTGATAAAAGATGTAAAACAAGTTGAGTCCGAGCAGAGCAAGGACCAGGAGTACCGTCTCATTTTCGGGCATGGTCCGGTTGATGATGGGAAGCGGAGGTGACTGATACATCAGGGATCCTTTGAGCGATTGTCTTGCTCTCCCGATCAGCGAGACTGAAGGACGTCTGGGGTTGTCTCCGTCAAAGATGAGAGGGTCGCTCTCGGTGGACGGTCTGCCTTTGCTGCAACTCACGGGCGACACATCGCCGCCAGCTTGCGTGCTACTGGACGAGCTGGATGTGCAGTCCTCCGAGACGTACGAAGAGCCATCTCTGCCTTTGTCGTCCTTGCATGTTGCTAGTGTTTCGTCCCTTCGCCTCCTTCGTCTTGAGCGCGTCCAAGACAGGTACTGGTGCCTGGCTGCTGCCACGAGTACCACTCCGACTATGGCAGCCTGGTACGTGACGAGGAACCATCGATTGAATCCGAAGCCCTCGACGAGCTGTCTCCGATGTTCGTCTGGTGTCTCGCGGGCGGAGATGGCCAAGCTCGGATCAGATATCGGATCAGATAGTGGGAGGTTTGGCGTGGATGCTGAGAATGATTCCATGTTCTTGTAGGACCTCCCAAGGTTTCCAGATCTCATATCTGTAGATGTTGCAGGCGTTAGACCGACTTGACAGTCACATCAACGTCACACGGACGTGTCCACGCTGGCATGAGTGACTGCCTCGAGACTGCGATAGCGGATTCTTGTTTTGCCTGCGCTTTAGGCCGCCGCAGTGAGCCCGATGCCGGCACGCGGGCCTTAACTTAGTTGGCATCTTGGCCCAATCACTCACCCATACCAACAGCGGGCTGTTTCTTTATGCAACAACTTGCTAGATCCTGGCCAAGTCGACCATTATGCGACCCGTATTCTGCTGTCAAGCTCGCTCAAATTCGTGTGGGCTGCCGACGCGGGCCTGGTTTGATCAGACGACTGTATAGCGGCGAGGTTGCGAACATGGAACGGACGTACGAGGTAAAGAGGATCTGGAGATGTTGTCATGGTCTTCTCGCTGAATCTATCAGAATGCTCTTCACGTGCTGGCTTCTAGACGGAGAGGAGGTCGGCCACCAAATACGTCTTCTGAATCAGACCCGAGTGGCACAGTGGGTCTGAGAGGAACACCAAGTTTGATCGGAATGAGAGAATGGCTTGACATGCTAGGCCATAGCGTGAGAGCGATTGATCCTCACTTGGTGTGCTCTCTTTGCTGACCAAAACAGGCAGACGATCTTCGTGCACTCAACATAATCCACATTGCTGGAACAAAAGGCAAAGGCAGCACTTGTGCTTTCACAGAGTCAATACTGCGGTCACACGGCGAGCGTACAGGCAAACCTAGCAAGACCGGTCTGTATAGTTCACCTCATCTTATTCTCCCGGAAGAACGGATACGGATCAACTCCAAACCTCTGGAGCGCCATCTCCTGGCTAAGTATTTCTTCGAGGTGTATGACCTCTTACCACAGCTTGCAAGTCCATACGATCCAAGCAAGGAGGTCGTTGAGAGAGGTCCGCGTTACCTACAACTCTGGGCTCTTCTAGGTCTGCACGTGTTCATTAGGGAGAGAGTGGACTGTACCATCTTTGAGACGCACCATGGAGGTGAATACGATGCCACGAATGTTGCTCCTCGACCTGTGGTGACCGCCATCACTACTTTAGGAATGGATCACATTGATGTCTTGGGTCCAACAATCAGGAACATTGCGTGGCACAAGTCCGGCATTTACAAGCCTGGATCTGTCGCGCTTTCCACAATACAGTCAGAAGAACCCGCGGAAGTGCTAACAGAACGAGCGCAAGCGCAGGGAGAGACGGTACGATTCGTTGATCTGGATCCAAGGCTGCCCAAGAATGCGCCTCAGATCCAACCATCTGTTCAGAAGAAGAACTCTTCGCTTGCAATCGCCATAGCAGAGGCATCTCTGGAGAAAACAGTGAATGCCAGTTCTCCATCACATCTAACTTCAGAAGACATCGAGCATGGTATTTCAAGATTTTCCTGGCCTGGAAGATTCCACATTGTGTCCGGTGGCAGCCACACATGGTTCCTGGACGCCGCACATAACGAGATGAGCGTAGCTATCGCTGCAGATTGGTTTACGGAGGTCGGGTCTGAGATGGCAAAACAATCTACTGATATCTCGCGGACGTTGATATTCAGCCACATCAATGAGACGCGAGATGCTGTCGGGTTGCTCAAATCACTCGCCCAATCTCTCAAGGACTCTGGCGTGCAGGTGAGCGATGTTATCTTCAGCACGTACGACGAGATCGAAACAACTGGATCAGGTTCTCCTCCGAAGAGTCCAGACTCCTTCTGTCGAGTATGGGAGCAGTACTTTCCAGATAGTTCGATGCGGAATGAACCGACCATTCTTGGAGCCATGACACTTGCAGCGAGATTGGGGCGAGAACGAGGCACACAGCATACACTCGTGACTGGTAGCCAGCATTTAGTTGGGCCGGCTTTGCAGGTTTTGAAGCGTTGGGGGTTGGAAGTGTGAATAGAAGAAGCACCAGGGTACCCTAGTAAAGAACAACGTATCGATGTTGGCACAGCAATGATTCGGTATTGAATGTGAGTGTGAATGAGGAGACAGCCTGGAGGAAGTTGTGACTTCGTCCCGTTTTAGCTCGCGATGCGTTGCCAGGGTCCAACCATCATTATTCAATACTTTCTTGCGCAACAACCTTGAACCGTCATCACTTGAACAACATCTCGCTCAACATGGCTTTTCGCGGGCACGAAAGTGGCATGGACTTTGAGTACGATAACCAAACTGGATCACTCGACGCTCGCTCACCCTTTGCCCACGTCGCCCACAACGCGCAGCGCATGCCGCAAAGCACCTTGGCCAGGAAACGTATGTGACCAGTGGCAGCGTGTTATGGCGGTACATGTCGCTGACAGAAATGCACCCAGGCGACTACAACGCATTCGATTCGCCGCAAAAACCACAAACACCCAGCAACTATACCTCTCCGAGTAAACCCCTGCCACAACTGCCGGCTTTTCATTCCTGCTTCACAACGCCCCGCAAGATCACCACCGACTTCGATGATTCATCTGCTGGCGAGACTCCACGATCTCCCGAACGCAACGATAGTGACGCGCCGACGCCTGAGAGTAACATGGGATTCCGCAACACGATGGCCAAGTGGAATCCAGGCGGAGGCACGACTCAGCAGTCGCAAGCAGGTGCAGAACGCGGTGGGAGAGGTGCGCCGATAGATTTGGAGCAGGAGACCGAACAACAGCGCGCGCGGCCAAAACCTAGAAAGCGGGACAGCTTTCTCAAAGCCGTTAGAGACGCGTGGCAGAGTCCGGRCAGGGGAGAAATACCGCGTTCCGAGCGCGGTAATGCCATTGTGAAACAGACCAAACACAAACGGGATCGTCAGCTGCAGAAACAATCCAAGAAGAGGCGACATAGCATGACGGACTCCGACGATGACAATGAACTGCAGCGTAACAGGAGGACACGAAAGGCTAGCGGCCAGGGAAACAACGGTGTGGACCAGGACAGCAGCAACAGACCGCACTGGGTCTCCAATCTCTTCACCTTCATCGGGCAACATCCAACAGTCCCTCACATCCTCTCATTTTACGCACAACTAGCATTCAACGTGTTCCTGCTGGCAGCGTGCGCGTACATGTTATATTGCTTCTGGTCCGCTGTCCAGGGAGACATTGACAAAAAGGCATTTGAAGCAATGGCAGAGGTCATGGCCGAGTCTGCACAGTGCTTACACTCTTGGAACTCCAACAAGTGCGACCGGGCTACTCGGGTCCCAGCCTTGGAGAAAGTTTGTGAGGGATGGGAGGCGTGCATGAACCGAGATGCCACAAAGATTGGCCGTGCGAGGGTCTCTGCACACACATTCGCTGAAATCTTCAATTCTTTTGWCGAACCCATCAGTTGGAAAGCTATGGTATGTATTGTCCAGACGGCATTGCAAGATATTGATGCTAACAATGACTTTAGATCTTCACCACTTTCCTCGTCTTTGGAGGTTTTGCTACAACAAACATGGCATTTGGCCATTTCAGAGAAAAGGCACAACATCAGCATCATCCGCCACCCTATCAATACTTTCCGCCGCCGACGCCGCAGCGCACTTTCTCTGGTCAGCCCTTGGAGGGTATTTATGGTACACCTTGGCAGCAGCAGCAGCAGCAGGTCGGTGCATCGGAACCACAGTCGAGTCCTGTAAGGAGGATTGCATACGAATAGGAGGCTCTTTTTGTTTATACGCGTGAAAGAGGCGTTGATTGGGCCAGGACACAGCACGCCATTACAATTTGACGAATTACGATTGGGTAATCAAAGACACCTTGATGGTTTTGCATTCGTTGTGAAGTGAATGAAAAGAAAGCTCCAAATCGGAATGCCTAAATGATCCCAACATGAATCTCCAACTACCTATACTTGTGCAAGTGTCATCGACGTAGTGAACGATGTCTCACGGTAAAGTAACGAAACGTCATCAAACAGCATTCATTCAATTCTCTCAAGTAAAGTACTCTTGGGTATCATCAACTATAACACCCATTGGCTACGCCTGCCAGTCAAATTTCATAACGCCATGTCGTCAATCCCTCGCACCCAAATTCCGCCTCGCAATGCATTCCATTGTAAATGAGGTTACTTCTTAGTAGTGAAGTCGGTCTCGAGATCAGAAGAAGCACCCTTCTCGGTACCACTGCAGTTGCACGAATCTGTTCAAACTCAGTCAGTTTCACATCTTCAAAACAAGGAGGAAACTGGAAGATAATGCTTACCGGACGACCGCTTGCCACAAGCGCAAGACGAACCAGCAGCAGGCTTGGTGTTCTCGCCGCTGGCGCGGGAGCATGTGCAAGCACCAGCTGGGCGTTGGTCTTTAATTCTCGTTAGTAGCTTCCTTGAAGATGAGTGGATTTGTACAATGAACTTACTGCAAGAGCACCTAGCTCCAACAACCTTGTTCTCGACCTCGGCCTTCTCGCAGTTGCAGTTCAGAGCAGACTGCTTGCCGCATGAGCAAGTAGCCTCAGCGGCGCAGGCACAGCCGGCCTCGCGGCGTCCGCAGCAGGTGGATGGGATGGCGGAAGTTGGGGCGGACATTGTGATGTTGTTGATTGGTTGGTTGGTTGGTTGGTTGGTTGGTAGGTTGACTAGAGAAGAGAGTTGTGAGGGTGAAAGAGTTGTGAGGGTGAAAGAGTTGGAGATGTTGGAGATGTTGTAAGAGATTCATTGTTGAAGAAGAAAATGGTCGCTTTATAATTGGCAAACACTACTATCTGATCGCAGTTCGATCATAAATGCGAAACGGAAGACTTCCGATTGGCTCRTGAGATCAGACAAGTGAATAATCCCGCCTGCGCTAACACCACTTGGCCGATGTTTCTAGAATGCTTGGTCATGTGTTACTCTCGAGCAAGCATTGGATCGTGTTCATATTCTGCTGACGTGTTGATGAAATACGAGTTTGAAACTGCTTGAGATTGGGAGCTGTTTCACACAATTCACCAACACTACAATAGTGCCTCGGTGCCTTCCACTAGCGATGCCCCGCGAGACATAGGTAAGAGCTCACGAGAAATGAGGTGTTCATGATGATGACTTTTGTATCTTATTTTCATAGCAGCAATTTCACGCCAGCTAAACGTACCTATGCGCGGTTCACTCACATCACAACATGATGTCGTCCATGCCTGTAAAAACGCCTGCAATCAACCATCCATCCATTCAACGCTACAGTGCTCTACTGCGCCCTGATGGCATTACCCAATGCACCGCCGGTGAAACCTGCACCACCACCACGGTTCGGTGCACCCTCAACACGACCACCACCGCGACCACCACGACCACCTCCTCTGCCACCACCACGGCCTCCACGGCCACCACGACCACCTTGTCGCTCAAAGGCGTGGGCAGTGCCCTGTGTCCGCTGCTCCAATACGCGCTCGTTCGATTCGATGAGGTTCTGTGCCTTGTCGGCGAGGGTGAGGGACAAGCTCTGCAGTCTGCTAAGCTCGACTCCCTTGCGGAAGATGATGGCGCTGTCAACTTGATCGAGTGCGGCTGCGAGGTCTTCGTGGTGAATCATCTTGGAAACAATCGCCGCAACCTTGCGAGGCTCAAGATCGAACATCTGGGCCAAGTTGTCGACACTGAGGGTGTCGTAGAAGGGAGCATATGTGAACAGATATGTTCTTAGACCCTCCTCCTGAATCTGACCCTCGAGCATCTCCTTGATCTCGGTGGCCTTGGGTAGTAGGTCCCAGATCTTGATGGTGGTGATGAAATCCGCGGCCTTCTTCCACTCACCAGCTGCAAGAGCTTTTGATGCCTGCATGACGTGGTCGCGGGTGTTCTCGGGTGGGCCTGTGAAGATTTGTCGCTCGTGGTATTCGAGCATGCGACGGTATGACTTTGAGATGACACGCTTCTTGAGGTCTGGTGAACTGCCGGCTTGCGCCAGAGTGGGGATCTCAAGGAGCATAGAGCAGGTGAGGTATACACATTCCAGCAATTCGAGGTTGATGTGCATGTGGAACGGAAGCTGTCGCTGTCTCTCCAGACGCTCCTGTTCAGGTGTGATTTGAGAGTAGCGCTGCATTTGAAGACCCTGGGCGAGCAGCTCCTTTTGGCGCTGGCTGCCGCAGATGTCCTGGAGCGCAGTCTGGCACTCGTAGACGAGTCCAGCACGGAAAGCACAAAGACCGACCTGGGTGAGGGTTCGGTTGTAGAGAATCTGAGTGTTGACGTCGAAGCTACCGATGGTCTCCTGGAGATGGGACATGAGCATCATATCCCTAGACTTGAAGTATTGATCGTGAAGGGCGAGGAAGTAGATCTGGCAARGCATGGCGCGTCCCTTGATGATTCCCTCTGCGTTCTTGAAGAGATATGTGGCAAGTGTCTCGACAAGTGTGGTAACATCCTTTGCCTGAGTTCGTGGTGTGATGGTGGAATCATTCTCCGAGGGGATCTCCTTCCATGTGTTCTCCTCGAGGATGGTGCAGACTTGAGATGGCTTGAAGTAAACATGCTCGAGACGGCGCATGACCACACGGTTAACATTATCCTGAGATGCCTCCAGCTTGGGGTCGGCCTTTAGTCGCTCGGCGTAGATCATGGCGCGGACAAGGTTGGTGTAAAGCACACCCTCGTCAGTAAGACGCTCGACGTACTCGGCGGTGTGTGGGTCAACGTGTTGCAGGACGCGGGTGAGTTCATCATCAAGACGCTCGACAAACGAGATGACGTTTCCAGGGATCTTGAAGGTCTCGCCAGGGGTGATTGTTGGCAATTTCTCGTCGTCCTCCCACTCCTCTGCGTTCTCGGTCACAACAAGATCGCGGTTGGCCTCTAGAACAGTGAGAAGCTGGGCAATCTCGTTCTGAGCTGCCTTCCATTGCTCTTGCGTCATCTGGGAGCCAGTTCCTGAGGTAATGTCAAAGCGAGTAGCCACGAGCGTTTGTAGCACGCGAACACGTTGGTAATCATTGACAGACACCTCGAGCAGTCTCTCCATGATCTTGATCTGCTCCAGGCGATCGGTGTTCTTCCTTCCTCTCGACTCAACAATCGACCTGAGGTGCTTAAGAATGCTCTCTGGSGTATAGACCATAGCTTTGCCGCCTGCTCCAACCATGGTGAAGCCATCATCGTCCGCGTCGTCGGCGGCAATGGCAATGGCCTTCTTCACAGGACGAGCGGGAGTCTTGACAACCTCCTCGACCACATCCTCCTTCATGTACTCGTTGGGATCCTTGCGGAATGTCTCGAGCTCGGTGGCATAGTCACGGTTGTTCTTCTTGATCTTCTGGCGCAGCGCGTTGAGTCCCTTTTGCGCAATGGGGTTCATCTTCTTGGGTGTGACCTTTTGCTTTTCGAAAGCCTCGGCGACCTGCGTCTCCAGTTCGGCGATGGTGCGGATGAACATCTTTGGCGGCTTGCCGTCCAGCACGCGAATCAGCGTTGGCAGTTGGCGGTTCATCTTGTCGTATTGCTCATTGATGGCGTGCCAGTCACTAATCTTCTCCGCATTTTCAATCAACTTTATGGTACCCTCCAGCTCATCAAATCGCTTGTCCTTTGCTGACTTGGCCACTCGAACCTTTTCCTCGTCGCTGTCCGACTCGTCCGAGCTGGCTTCGCGCAAGAAACGGCTGGCACCCGTCTTTCCACCCTCGTCGTCGCTGCTGGAGTCCGAGTMATCCTCCGGTTCGCTGTCGCTGTCCGAATCATCACTGTCCGCTACTGCCTTGGTCTTGCCGTCCTCCTCGTCGATGTAAAGTTCCTCGTCGTCGGAAGAGCTCTCGCTGGAGCTGTCGCTGCCGTGGAAGAATCGAGACATATTTGCGAATGCTTATTATGCCGCGGCGTGTACTTTTCGGGCGGCTCTTGCCTGGGTTGTGTGCTGGTAGGCAATGAACTTTGAGGATGTTCGTGTCGGTGATCGTACGTGGACGSGAACGTGTGATTTTGCGCCAAGCCCAGGCACCTGCAGTTTTTACGAAGCGCAGGCCGGCAGCATCCGAAACAAACGAAGTGGGGGGCGAACATGTCCCCCTCAAATCACCACGATCATGACCCTCAACTGACTATCATTCGGAGACATGCGCAGTCATGGCGCGCAGTTCCATTTTGCTGTATGTTCCTTCTAGCGACTACACGATTCGCCAGATTGGCAGAGTGTTTCCGCTCACAAAGGTGCCTCCATTTCGTGCTGCTCCAGTAAACTTTCATTTCATCCTATGGTCGCTCATATGCAAGAAGGATCTCGATTCGTATCGGGCAAGCTGATGATGTGCATCTCCTCTRGCAAACTCATTGTGAGTCGGCGGTCATATACAGGCATCACCTCTACACACCTGGGCTCTATTCGTTCCTGACTGTGTAAGCAGCGATCAGGTCAGATGCAGTATTGCCGCWCTGCTCGCAGTACTCTCCCAGCAATGGAAGTCACTATCGGAAGCACGCGCCTGGGGTGATTCTGGAGCATGCGCGAGCCGAGACGATACTCATCGCCTTGATATTGACCCGAGACGATACGCATTGCCTTGATATAGCAGCGAGCTCGACCTCACGAGTTGCTGGATACTTCACCATCTCTCATGGACGAGAAGCAAATACCAAACCGTTGGACGACACCGCTGGTCCAACACATCGATCACGAGCTTTGTGCGACTGCTCTCCATACCACAGGCTGAGGACAGTGCATGACCAGGAAGTCGTACCCATGAATACCACCAGCAAAACGCGCTTCACTGATACACATGGGCTCTCCGCACCATACACATTGTAACCCCCATTCAGTTGTCTTCTGTAACCTACACTTCATCACTACATTGCAATGGGTTCCAGCAACTCTACACTCCTTCCGCTCTCTGCCCCGAATCCTATTGCCCCTTCGATGTGTATAGACCACTTGGAGATATATGAATGCGGTCACTCCTTCACAGTCATAACACTTCGCTGCAACAATACCTCTACTCCGCAAAGCGACACCAACAGGGACAAACCACTTTATGTGGGTCGATCTTGTTACCACTGTACTCAGGAGAGGACAAGAAGATGGCACCACGGATACTCGACTGTATGAGGCGAGAAGGCTTGGGCTCTCAATATMGATGCTTTCAATGGAGCTTCCAGAACCTACATAGGTACTTGTTCAAGTAAGAAGAGGATGGCCTGTGGAAGGCACGATCAGGATCTCTACTAAACTCGAGCCTTCTCCTCTTACATGTTTCAATCATCATGTGCAATGTTCATAAACAAGATACGCCATTCGAATAATTGTGCTAGAGATCCTCTATCAGTCTATCGCGTGTATCCATCTATCTCGTGCATTCGTCTATCTCGTGAAAATGCACGGACGCGTCCAGCTTTCAATCTTACCAAAGCTTTGGGCGCGACGAGTCCACAAGTCCGATCTCTCCAGATCGTCAAAGTTCATCCAACCACCGACACCGATGGCATCGCCATAGACCAAACATCTCCAACATAGCAACAATGTCCTCTCCACACGCAGAACGTAGCGTTTCGCGCGGGCGATCACGCACAMCGATCCGCGACGACGACGCGCACTCGCGCTCACGATCCCGCTCCAATGCGCGCTCCAACAACGGCAACACCTCACCCTCACCCGCACCCGTGATCCCACGCAGCGCAAAAATCGTCATCGAAAAACTCACAAAGAACGTCAAGGAAGCACATTTGCGAGAAATCTTCAGCACATATGGCGAAATCGAGGACCTGGAAATGCCCATGAACAAGCACTTCATGACCAACCGGGGCATTGCATATGTTCTCTACACCGATTCGAAGTTTGCAGAGGCCGCCATCAGTAATATGCACGAGGCGCAGCTCGATGGAGCATTGGTGAATGTGTCGATTGTGCTGCCACGGAGAAGATTCAGCAAGTCCCCACCACCAATCAGGCCGCCGCCGAACAGATTCGGTGAGCCTCATAGGCATCGTGAGGGGCCGCCCATGGGCAATCGAGACTTTGGAGGTGGTGGACGTGGACCACCGCCGCCAAGAGGAGGTAGTCCCCCATACCGAGGTGGCAGTCCCCCATACAGAGGAGGTGGTGGCAGGCGTGGAAGTCCAGGACCTAGAGGCGGTAGAGGTGGAGGTGGAGGCTACAGAGATCGCTACGATGATCGGGAGAGCTTCCGGCCAAGGAGCTATTCGCGTAGCAGATCACCGCCGCCGAGACGAGGAGGTGGGAGTCCCAGCAGGAGGAGTCCACGATACGACAGTCGCAGCAGGAGCCCCAGCCGGRCACCACCACCTGCGAGAAGAGGTGGGCGCAGTCCTGCTGCTCGAGGTGGAGGACGGAGGAGATCCTACTCCAGCTACAGCAGCCGCAGTCGGAGCCCCAGCAGGGAACGCGGCGGCAGAGGAGGGCGGAGATGAGGGGGTGGTTCAAACGGATTCAGCTGTTGGATGGATCTCCATCGATGAGAAGTCTCGCATGGGACAGCCTATCCTATCACGGCATTCACGTGTCACAACCTGAAGCTGTCGTCAAAAACGACCACGCAGAAAGGTCCCAAAAAAGGAATGCACGGCCAGAGTCAAAGTCGGGTCATCAGAGGGGAGTGGTATGGCATGAAGAGAGCAATTGTCGTTCTACTTCAAGACCGCAGCTGCTATGCCATGCAAAGCCCCCTCTACTCGCTTGTTGAGAGGGCATGAGAGACCCAAAGTCTAGTTATCAAAGTTCGAGCAAATTTGCGAAACGCCCGTCATTGCAGCCGGCTTCTCACTTGTCACACGTTGTCGTGGTTCACATATGCACATGCCATGGCCCGAGGGTGCTTCAAATTCTTTTCCACACCTCTCCCCCACTCATAAGCCATCCTCATCTAGACGTCTAGTATCCCATCTTGATCAGGTAGTCTCCCAACTGCTCCGTCGTGTTCGCCGCGACACCAGGCTGGACACTCTCGGRGTAGTGTGTTACCAGCAATGCCTGTGTGGTCTTGACAATCACCACACCCTCACGCCCCTTCCTGCCGTAGAGACTCCGGTCGTCCGCCTTGATACACACGAATCGCTCGCCTGCGACGTGAAATCCCTCGCTCTGCACCTTCTTCACTTCTGCGGTGTCCTTGTAGGCTGTGACGATTGCTTGCATTTCGGCGGGTGAGACTTGGAAGCCGGCAGATGTGGCCCAGACGCTGTTGCCTTCGCTGTTGAAGATGGCGGCTTTGTCGAGGTTGCCGGTGCCGATGAGGCTATAGGTTTGTCAGTATGTGTACGGTCCGCCTTGTACGGGACGTGTCGTACCTGGTATCGACGTATGCKGTTTGCAGTAGATCAGCATATGAGCACGAGCACGAGCACCAGGCGGTGGCATGCGGCGGGGCGAGGGCTTACCTTGCCAAGACATGATTGCTGTGTGCTTGTGTGTTGTTGCTGTGTGGGCGTGGGCGGTGGGAGGGTGAACGAAAGTGTTGCTGTTATACCCGTGGTTCTTTTTCGACTGCGGCGTTGAGCGTTCGGTACTTGCGTCGTAGATGTTTGGTGCGCCAAAGGCACATCTCCTAGGGCTGGAGAGTGGGGTTTTCCCRATCAAATATTTAATTGATCGTCTGCGCTCTGGCCACTTTTCGGAGTTGCTTCATTCTGTTTTTAACTCGCGACATTGTGCCCCAAGGCCCGTTCTTTGCGAGTCAATCTCTTGCGATTCACCCATCTCATCGCGTCGGATCGGCTATTGCACAATCATTCGAAGAAACAAAATGAAAAAGCTTGTGAATCGAGCAAGGCAAGTGATACGCACACCCAAACCTCGGGCGCAACCATGTCCAGCGCCTCTTCAGTCATCGCGTTCGACTACAGCAGAACCTTTGACATCCGTCGAAAGCAAGCGTGAAACCGCCTCGGATGAATGCCTGCGAATCCACGCGCAAGCTCAGTCGGTAGTCTCGAAGTGGAAGTCTGATTCTCAACAAGATCTGACGTCTGATATGAGAGAGATGTGGTCCAACTTCTGCAACGCAGGAATGGAGCCCGAGAACCACCAATTCCTTATCGACCTTCTCAAAACTATCGTGAAGACGGCCGGTTCTGATGGAGCCGCGGGTCCTTGGAAAGACACGTCGCTATTCAAGCTTGTAGTCGAACAGAGGCTACGAGAAGTCTTCATCACCGGCCAGGATATGAAAGCGTGGGTCGCACTCAACCACCTGCTGAGGCGCATTTCAATCCCTCCAGCGTCGATATACGATCTTCGTATGGCAAGCTTATGGAACTTACGAGATGTGCTCGAGACCTCAACTGTGGTCGTGACTGTTAACATGCTCAAAGTCCTGATGCTCTGGCTAGGTGGTCATGTACATTGGCTGCAGTTGCAGATCCTACGTGCACATTCGAAAAGCTACCCATCTGATACTCTCATCAACTTGGGACTCGGAGATCTTCCAGCTATCACGGGTGAGAAACTGCAACCAGTCGTCGACCTCGATAGATTGCAATTCTGGCGGCAAAGGCTGCAAGGTGTCCATGATGCCGAGACTTCTGATACAATGATGAAGTTCTATGCAAGTGCTGTTCTCAGCCTGCTTAAAGTGGGTGTTGCGGAAGTTGATGAGTGGAATGAAGAGCTTCCTGTTACGTGAAGACTTCCTCTTGTTGGCGAGACTTTTCAGACTCCAATGGGCGTCTTCTTATTACCGACGTTACACGTTCGTCTACGTTTTCGCTGCCCCTGGCTTGAATGGGCTGCCGATGAGATAATGGACCCAAGTGATTCTGCTGCCGGAAGGCTTCGTATACACCAACATCCTAGAAGCATCGCATGCTGCGAAGGTCCAAGGTGGTTCTCGGCTCACCCTACGAGTCTTGAGGCAGTTGCGATAGCCGGCTGACCTCCCGTTGAGAGGCGCRTCAGCAACGAGGTCTCCACCTTTCCGACAGTACGGCAAAGCTTGGTCTTCCAGAGCACTCGGAGCGTACTAATGCGGGATTGACGAGCCCGAAGAGAGCAGCGGAGCACATTGGTGACTTCTCTAGACAATAGCATCAAGCGAGGGAGCACGTATACCAAAGACACACAACTTTCCGACAGCACTCATCATGTGTCACAGGCGTTGATGGAAGCAGAACTTATACGATCTTGCAGCATGAGAGACATCTTGAGCRTGCAGATTGTCGCCTTGCATTAAAAAATGCGAAAACGTCACCTACCAGCATTGTCTACAGATAAGCCGATGGAGGTAATGGAGCGCTATACTTGTCCTTTCCTAACATGCATGCACGTGGTTCACGGTATTTGGAATTCCGAAGCCCATCCCGAATCGGTTTGAAGCCGGTGCGTTTGGCGAGGAAGGAGCGGAATTGTAAGTGAATGAAATTGTCCGCCTCACCTTCAGATCATCTATCCACCTTGTGGCTATTGCCCTTGTGCGGGAATCTCCTGCGACTACTCCTGTACACTGCTTACGATACTAAAGCAGGAACAAAGCTGGTACAAAAGAATGCACTTCCTATTCGGGAAAGAGCGGCATGCGAGTGAATGAATGTGAGTACAAAAATCAATCAACACCTTCCGGCCTTGCACTTGCTGTTCTTTGCAAACAACCGCATCCGCTCTGTGTGCTATCGTCGACTTCGCACGCAGCAAAAGGTATCGTACTGCCCGTCCGACAAGAGTCAATCCACCACCCCCGAGACATCAGACAGCAGACAGCAAAAAGATTGGTACCATCCCAGTGGACTGGGACGCAGTTGCCTCCTGACAGAGTTGAACTGGCGACCTCGGCATGGTCTAGCAGTGAATACTAGTGCCGCGCTCTACCAACTGAGCTAAGAAGGCGTGAAGAAGATGGTATAGCACCATTTTTGTTGTGGGCTGAGGACTTGGCACCCTTTATGAAGCTTGAGCTTTACGCCGAGGTTGACCCGCTGGCATCTTCGACCATTACTCCATACACAGGAGACAAGAGAGCGAGGGGACGTGGAAGCTTGCGAGATGTGGCGGCAATCTGGATGGGGAGTGATCAGAGGAATCAGCGCTCCCGAGCAAAGCCGGACACCTTTTGCGATCGCCGCTCTCACGCTACAAATGCCAGGGTTAGGGTTGATGTAGTGATTCACCCTCTGTCAGAGTCGATAATGAAGGTGAATGCAACACTGGACTAGTCATAGCCATCTCGAGTCACTGTCGATATCTACGCGAATGAAGAATGGGGGATTGTGGCATCAATGCAACAAAGAGCTTGTTGTAACGGCAAGCTTGAACTTCCAATATCTCTCACCTCGACATCTAACTATGCTGTGTCTTGTCGTGGGCCCACTCAAATTTTTGGAATCCATGGCCGAACTGCGTTCAATCGGCAAGCACCCTGTTCGATAGACTACTGATATCTGGCATTGTTTCTGTAAGATCTATTTGGGTCTCCTGTCGTTCGCACCAACACCGACTCAGGGGTAGTCCTCCAGAGAGTTCGAATGGCTGACAACATAGCAATATCTGGGCTCTCATCTCTAGAGACATGCCGCAGACTAGCCATTGATCTACGTGTCCGCCAACATTGCAATGCGTTTTCTAGGGACATTGGTGGGCCTCCTGAACAAATAACTACCCCCTCGACGGTGAGCGAGACATCTGGCATGCAACGTTTTGTCATATCGAACGAGCATCTAGATACTGGGAGAATGTCTCCTGTGTCGGCCTCTGATTTTCATGGCGAGTGGCTTTGCCCAAGGCCTGATGTAGTCTTCAATTTCAACTTCAAACTCAATGCTGTCATGGACGAAACTTTCAGTGCAAGCTGTGCAAAAGTTCCATTCATATATCGATCAATGGCAGACAAAGCCGCTGGGTATAGAACCAAGTCGGCGAGACCGGTATATTTCCTTCCGCGTCCGCAGATATCCACTACTCGTCATCATCATCCTCATCGTCGGCCTTGACCTCTTCCAAATCATCTTCCTTGGGAACGACTCCTCCCTTGTTCTTCTTTGCTGCAGCGGCAGCGCTGCCTGACTTGGCCGTCTCGTCAGCATCCTCATCCTCTTCGCCCGCGGCAACTTCCTCCTCATCGTCGTTTTCGGGAGCATCATCATCGTCGTCATCTTCTTCGCCTTCGTCGCCGCCAGCAGCAGGCTCCTCAGTCTTGCGCTTCTTGGCCTTKGGTGCTGTCGTGACCATTAGATTGTCGTGATTGAAACAGAATCCGGAATATGAGCTTACGAGCGGCAGCCGCGGCTTCTCCGTCTTCCTCATCGTCCTCTGATGCACCTTCCTCGTCGTAGTCTTCCTCYGATTGGTATCTACTCAAGCGTTAGTCGTGCGTACAATATCAACCCCATGCGACAACGTCAATTGCTCAGCATTGATACCATTTATCAAGCTCAAATCAATTGCGATGAGCAAAGGATCGTCGCGCGACAGTATTGGTGTCTCAATCGCGTGCATGCGGCTGCAATGGCAAGGCCAACAAATCTTTGCGACAACGTGCTACTCACTCTTCTTCCTCTTCGCTGTCTTCCGGAAGAGAGACAAGCTCCTCCTCCTCCTCGGCTTTGCGCTTGCTGGTACGGGTAGACATTTCGGCGTTGGTTGAAAGTGGTATAGATGAGGGAATTGTTGGAAGAGGAGGTATGAAAAGGGACTGGAGAGCTTACGGAAGGATTGACGAAGGGAGCTGACTTTCCTGGGAGCTCGGGGAGTCGACCGCTATGCACGCTCGACTGCAGGGACCTTGGCTCGCCTGGGAATTCGAGATGGCTGCGGCTGGGAGGGGAGGGGCCAGTGTTCGGCATTTTACTAGAATAGTAAGAGTAATAGTAAATAGTAATAGTAATATAGTAATAGTAATATAGCATTACTATTACTATTACTACGTTACTAGAAAATATTATTACTATTACTATTACTATTACTATCGTAGTCCGATAGTAATAGTAATAGTAATATAAGTAGTAATATAGTAATATAAAGTAGTAGACTACGGTACTTAAGCTACCCCTTATCTTTTAGACTAATAACTACTTATTTAATAGTATAATTACTATAATAATAGCCTAAATTCTATAGAAACGTATAGTCTACTAAGATCTAGCCTATAGTTCTTATTAGCTACTACTACTACTTTTACTTTATAGCTCTTATACGTAGGTATAAACTCTAAGCTAGTAGATTGTCTTAATATAGTAAGATATATCTATATTTAATATAAGAATAGCCTAGTTTTAGTATATCTATTCGCGTAGTTAAATTCTTAAAAGTATTATACCTAAAGCCTAGTACTGTTCTAATATCTAAGTACTATCCTCGTACTCGTTATACTCGTCGTAATAGTATCTAGATATATCGTAGTTACTAGGATTAGCTCTAGTATATTTATAAGGATAAGTACCCTTTATATATAACTACCCGTGCTCTAAAACCCGCTGTTTATCTTGTATTCTCTTATGTAACTGCTTATAATAAGCTAGACTAACTATAGTATAGAATGTCTTATTTACTAGAGCGAGATTTTCTATATACGCGTCGTCCGCGTAATAGTTTCCGGATTGATTTTCTAAAAGCTCCGTAGGACTTAAGGTTAAAAGGGCTCTTCCTATTCCTCGAGTAAGGCTTTCGGCGGTTGCTCGGCTATTAACATAGTATCTAGTAATCTTAATTAAGATTTCGAAAGGTAGGATAGAGATAGACATCCTAAACTATAGTAATATACTATAGTTTATTATATACTATAAGTAAGAGTTAGTATATTATCTAATACTCTTATATAGTATTTACTTACTAAATAAGCTTTATAATAGCTACTCTTTTAAGATAGTAGATAGACTAGTTCTAATATAATTAGTATATAATATATCTAGTATAAAGATACTTATACTTACTAAGTAATAGTACTCTTAATATAATAGTAGTCTTTTAAAGCTCTTAGAATAGATATAAGACGTCTAATATACTACGTTATACTCTCTCTATATATATAAATATAATATAGTTTAGCGCTTTAAGGAAGCGCTAAGAGTATACGCTTTAGATAAGCGCTAAGATAATACGCTTTAGATAAGCGCTAAGAGTACCCGCCTAGAGTAAGCGCTTATAGTACGCGCCTAGAGTAAGCGCCTAGAGTACGCGCCTAGAGTACGCGCTAAGAGTATACGCTTTAAATAAGCGCTAAGAGTACGCGCTTTAAGTACGCGCCTAGAATAAGCGCCTAGAACAAGCGCCTAGAGTACGCGCTTAGAGTACGCGCTTTAAGTACGCGCTTAGAGTACGCGCTYAGAGTACGCGCTTAGAGTACGCGCTTTRAGTACGCGCTTAGAGTACGCGCTAAGAGTATATACTTTAAGTACGCGCTTAGAGTACGCGCTAAGAGTACGCGCTAAGAGTACGCGCTAAGAGTACGCGCTAAGAGTATATACTTTAAGTAAGCGTAAAGAGTATACGCTTTAAGTTAGCGCTTAGACTACGTACTATAACTATATACTAAGAGTAGGCGCTAAGAGTAGGTATAGATAGTAAGTACTTCTACGCTTTAAGTATACGCTAAGTATATATACTTTAAGTAAGCGCTAATAAAATATGCTTTAAGTAAGCGCCTAGATTAGGCGCTAGAATAAGTAATAATAGTAAGTACTAGAGTAAGTAATAATAGTAAGAGCTTATAAACGGCTAAAATAAGAGCTTACGATAAGGCCTTAAAATAGTATCTTTATAGATAGGCTTATATTCTAGGTTAATAACTAATACTCTTATATAGTAAAATAGTAATATAATAGCCTCTTATAATAAAATCTATATATAGTTATTATTAGAGTAGCCCCGTCTATAGATACCCCTTTTAGTAGTACTAGAAACGCCTCTCTAATATTTCTACTAAGATATAACGCTATCTTAACGCCTAATACTAACGTAGCATAAGGTTTACTTTAATTAGTAGCTATTTACTTAGAACTAGTCTAAGTTAGCTAATAGTACTAGAATAGAAATAATACTAGAGAACCTATATAAGTAAAAGTAAATACTAATCTACTATCTATCTATATATAATATACTATTCTTAATCGCTTATTTAATACTATTTATAAGATCTACTCGGAGCTAGAATCTAGATAATCGTCTTCTATTATAATTTCCTTCCCTTTACCTTTATCTTTACTATTAGTATCGCTATCGCTAGCTAGGTCGTTTATATTAATCTCTTCGTCTTTTACTACTCCTAGACACTTTAATATAATTAGTTTCTTAATAGTATCCGCGTGTAGGCGATTCCGCTTTTTAGTAACTATATCTCCTACTTTAGAGAAGGTACTCTCGCTAGGAGCCGAAGTCGGCATTATAGCTAAATAGTCCTTTGCTAATAAGAATAAAATAGGATATTTATCTTATACTAATCGCCAATATTCCTCTATATTTATATCTTTAGTCTTACGATATTCTTCTAGATATATATTAGCCTCGTTAACTATTTCTCGAGGTAGATCTTCTTTAGATATAAATAGATCGTCTTCGCTATCTTCCGCTAGATCTCTAATAGTACTAGACTGTGTATTTATACTAAATATATTACTACTACTCGGAGTATTTATATTAAACGAGCTAGTCGTAGAAGAACTACTTATAGTATTACTAGTATTACTATTATCTATAGTATATCGTATCTTATATCTCTCGTATACCTCTAGGAAATACTTTTTAATAAGCTCTATTATATTATTATCTACCTTTAAAATCTTAAATATCTCTAGTTTATACCTAGGATCGAGTATAGTCGTAATATATAAATCTTTAAGTCTATTAAAATTATTTCCTCTATTACTAAAGAGCGGGTAGTATTTATCTAATTTACGAATAGCCTCGGAAAGACCTCTAGCTAATAGAGGATAATCGGTTCTAATATTATAGCCCTCTCTATTAGTATATAGTATTCTAGTAAGGTCTTTTCTTAACTTATTAATAATTATTATAGTATTAGATATAGTACTATATTGATTAGCTTGCGCTCTAGTAGTAGGCTCTCGAAAGATTTCTAGAATATCTCTTAGTAGTCTTAAAAATATAAATTCCTTATTACTAATAGTAAAACTCTCTAGATTATATTTCTCCGGTTTATTATTAGACATTCTCCTAGCCTCCTCTAGGATTAGAATAATTATATTCTCAAAATAGAGTATACGGTCTATTATTTTAAAAGTAGAAAGCCATCTAGTAACATTATCTCTTAATAGCTTCTCGGGATTAAACAAATCGGACTTTAGTTTACTAGGGTCTCTACTAGTATTCTTAATTGCTACTTTTCGCCGTAGGCTATTTTTTAAGTAATGATTATTATTAAAGGCCGTTATAATATTTCTTATCTTATTAGGTAGGTCTTTAAGTATCTTATATTCCTCTAGGTAATTGGGGTTCTCTACTAGTATCTCTTCTAGTAGATCCGCTATAATCTTATTAAACTTCTTCTCCTTTTTATCTACTTTAATAAAGAATGTATACTTAAGAATAACGCCCGTTACTATATTTAATATATGCGCTAGACACGGTACGTCTAATATATAATAGCCTTCTTTATCGTACTTATCTTTAACTATCTCTATAAGCTTTTTTACCGGCGCTCCGTTATCTCTAGTAATAGATATAATCCTATCCTTAATATTAAAGGTATCTAATATATTACTAAAGAATTTAAAGAGTAGATCTCCGCTATAGCTATTATGTTCGTTTAGTACTTCGAATCCTAGTAGTAAATTATTTAAAGTAGTAAGATCTTTATTATAGAAATGTATAGTAACCCCTAGGAAATCCATATTATTTAAAGACTTATACTCGTCTAAAGTAAGTGCAAATTTACCCGGCGTATTAGATAGCCTATCTCTTAACGTATTAATAGAGGTATTAAATCTCGTATTGAGTAGCCGCTTTAGAGTACGCGGAGCTATACCCTTAGCATCGCTATTTAAATAAAGGGTTAATTCTCTAAAAGTAGGGCTCTTAACTAAATTAAACGGTAGGTTATTAGCTATAATAAAGTTTAATATTAACTCCCGAAATAGCTCTTCTCTAAACGGCCCCTTTTTACTATATTTATTATAGGTTATATTAGATATATCGCGTTTAGTACTACTCGAGCTAATAGAGCTAGTATTAAAGAATTTAGTAATACTATTACTACTACTAGCGCTACTATCTCGGCTAGTAGTATTAGAAGTTCTTCGTCTACGTTTAGAAGATCGCGGACTTCTATTATTTAGATCTATACTATTAGAGCTATCTATATCGTCCGAGTTATTAGTAGAGTCTATATTCGTAGAGTCGTCCTCTAAACTACTATCCGAGTTACTACTATTAGAACTAATTATAGTAGTTCTACCTTCTAGATCTCCTTTATATATATTACGATGCTTATTTTTAATATGAGATACTAAATTAGACGTATTAATAGGCCATTTAGATATAGTAGAATGCGGGCAAAAAGAACAACTTAATTTTAGTTCCGGTTTCTTCCCTTGAATTCTAGGTAGAATTAACTCTCTACTATAATATCTTTTACTAAATATCGGGGCTATAACCTCGATATTAGGCGGTTGCTAT